AAAAGCACACAACTCGCACATGGAGCACACCAATTGACCTTCGTGTGTTGCTTGTGTTTTAAACAAACTGCAAAAACTTTACTTTCGCTTGGAACAAAAGCATATACAATCCTTTTCCCACAAGTACGTTTATGGTAGAGCATATAAATAAGGGACAGTTCATCATATTTAAGTTCGATCATGCACATAAGCTGACATATATTGCTGTTAATATAGATATAGATCTTATATATTGCGATATCTCTGACAAAGCTTGCAGCGGCTAATATATGTGCAATGCTTGTTAGAAGACATTTGCGACTACATATTGTAATCAGAATGAACAGTCAAGTAGATATGCCCTCTGTTTGTCTATCTTTATGTAAACTAGTTTCTCAGTTTTTAAGCATTTCTGATAAAATATTGCTTAATCCGTCGCCTCTTGCTTTTGCAAGCAGGACATGTATCCTGGATTGGGACTGAAGCTTTTGGCAGAAACTATCGTTCAAACATTGATGATATAAAAAAAAAAAAACTTTTCATTTTTAAATCTCTTAAGAGAACTTTCCAATAACAATCGTTATATTGCTTCCAATTTCCAAGCAAAATCTAATCAACATCGGACTACTATATCATATGGTACCTATAGAAACAATCGGTTTGAAAATGAGTTTTTGTATGAAACGGTGTGGGTTTGTTTTCTTAGAAACTTTGTTTAAGCTCGTCTATAACAATCTTCAATAGGATCTTGAATTTTAACAGCATCGGATTTATATGTCATATAGCACGGATATATTAATATAGCTTAAGCAAATTAGTCAAAGCATTTCTCTGTGCTCTTTCTCTGTGGAGAAATGCAAAATATGTATCGAGCTACTAAGTATGTCATCTAAGCCCTATGGGAGTAATCCGCAGACAACTTAGGTCTTTAGGTATGTTGTTTTGATCCACCTTACGAAAACTTAGTTTTTATAACAGATCAAAGTGCTTTACTTTGCTTGACATATATGTCGTTTATATATACTCAGAAATATATATTTTAAAATTGTTTATGGACGTTAATCTAGTTTTTCTTTTTTTTTTCGTTGTTTTCAATTTGTAAATCTTAACCTAAATAAATAGAGAAATACTTACATGTGTAATTTGCATTAGGTTTGTGTGGGATACAGAGATCTTGGGATTCTAAAAACTGCAGTTTCTGCAAAGAAAAAAAAAGATTTTAGATTGTTTTTTTTTTTTTTGTTTTATCAATGCATTAAATATAACAAGTAAGAGGTTCTAATCGGGAGCTCCCGACTAGGGGATACCCTGAACCCTCTTCTTCCAACATCAAATGCATATATATATTCTATTTTAGAAGCTATATGTCAAGTTTTGTGACTCTAGCTCTTATTGTTTACCAAAATTGCCCGAAAAACAGGATATCGATATCGATTTTTATCGATTGCTTGGAAACGGATTAAGTTATCGATTATCGAAAACAAACTCGATCTGCGGGAACTAGGAGCACCTACATCCAAAATTTCAGTTTCTAGCTCTTAAAGGTTCTGAGATCCTTGCGTTTATACATACGGACGGACGGACGGACATGGCTACATCGACTCGGCTATTGATGCTGATCAAGAATATATATACTTTATGGGGTCGGAAATGTTTCCTTCTGCCTGTTACATACATTTGAATTTTGCACAAATACAATATACCCCTATACCCATTTTAAATGGGTTTAGGGTATAAAAAGAAATCAAATTTTATGTATTTTGATACAGAATCTGATGTAATATTTTGAATATATATAATTTACTAACGAAACCCCTATTTTCAACTTGTCTATTCACATTGGCGATTGTATTTATTGTATAAAAACCTGGCCTAGAAAGTGATTTGCTAACTAAAATTTTCTAACCAAACGATCTTTGAGATATTGGCAAGATTCTTAGTCCAGCTTAAAAATTGGGATAGTCAAATGGGCGAAACAAAACTATTTGGCTAAATATATATAGTTTATGGTGCCAAAACGAAATATATAAAAGGGATTTGCCAGTTGCTTCTTAATTTTGAATATAGCAAATATTGAAGTATTCGACGGCATATATTTATTAGAGTTCAGTTTCATAGGCAAATCAAGTTCTAATTTTTAAATGCCATATTAATCGATCTGATTGCATTGCGAGTTATGAATTATAAGCCTGCAAACTGAGTTAAACTGTGTAAGGTCACGCATGGTTAGATATTGGACTTAAGTATTTACAAATGTGTAACAATCGCAGAATAAAATTCAATAAAATTCTGGCTCCTTGAAGTACTTTTTCTTCAATGCGCACGAAATTGAATAACCCTTGAAAATGTGGTTCGATTTGCGACAGCAGCTCACATTCCGAAGGGTGAAGATACAAATATTTTTCGCACGACTTGATGTACGCAACGCGTAACTAAAATCATTGAAAATATTTTATTGAATTTCAGCTGGAATTGTTTGAAATGCACGAATTGCCAAGCAAGGGAACAATCTCTTGTGGTGGCTTGAATTTAATATGGTAGTGCTATGATTATAGTCGAATTCATGATATCTTCATCTTCCTGTAGACATGGCTAAGTTTTTCATACAAGTACTTCAATTTTGACGGATCGTTCTTGTGGCAACTATATGATACAGGGATCCGCTGGAGTCGTTTACCTGTAATAGAAAGACGGACCTTTACAATTTATGGCGATATCTGTCAACCTGAGGGACTAATTTGCATGGAAACAGAGAGACCGACAGGACTATATCGGCTCGGCCATTGATAGGGATGAAAAATTAATACACCTTTCTTTATAAAGACATGATAAACATTTGTAAAAGTAAATTAAAATTATTAAATATCATTGGCTTGTGACTACTCAACAGATATTAATACCCAAATATTACCACATAAAGATCAATTTATAATATTATATATAAAATTATATAAAATTACTGTCATATCGCTCGAAAACAGTCTTGGTAGGATTTCCAAAATAGGTCGATCAATATGAACAGGTACGAGTTTTAGATATTGATTCATACATATCAGCAAAATCTTACTAACATCAGATTTCATTATCATATAGCTCCCATTGAAAGGTCTCTAAAACTCGTACCTGTTCATATTGATCGAATGATATGTATGAATCAATATTCATACATATCAGCAAAATCTTACTAACATCAGATTTCATTATCATATAGCTCCCATAGAAGAGCTCAAGGGAAAGGAGTTTCTTTCTGCTGCCGAATAGAAAAAGCTATATTCTTTTAGTTTGATATCGTATTCGTTCTTAATAGAGCATTATCACTAACCATAGAACATGTTCTATTATGCTTTCATGCATATTAAATGTTACATTTATATATTTGTAATTTCCATAATGAGGACGAAACCATTGCAGCATTGTCCTTAGAAAACAGATGATTAATATCTATGATATATATTATTTGTTATCTATTTATATGTATACTTTAGTAGCCATCATTAACTAGAGCAAGAGATGCAAGAGGATGATTATCAAATGCAAAATGGAATAAATGCATATACGCACCTTCAATTCGCTTTTATGCCATTTGTTTTCCTCTAATGTGGTTGATAGTGTGTGGTCCTCGTGCGTTGCAAATGCATTGATGGTGGTAACGAGGTGGGCTTGGACGGGTGTATTATTAGTGTAGCTCTTGCTGTGGCTGTAGCGACTGGACGTGATATCGATGGCAAATGCGACGAGGAAGATTTCATTTTGATTTAAATGCTCAACGAAGAATTTATTATAACTATAATCCGTAATGGGAATTGCACGAGTAAAATGGGCTAAGAATGTTCAACAATGTGCCAATAAACGTAAACAACGAAATGAATGTAACAAGAGTTGGAGAGGCACGACAATGGCAAACGACAAACGTGAAACGATCAAATTAAATGCTAAACAAGGCGAAGGACGAGCAGCAGCTCCAGATCCAGCTCCAGATCCAGTTGCAGTTGCACTCGCCGGTTCAATGTGATTATATGTGTGTTGGCAGCACTCTAGCGCTGGACGCGAACTCTGATTTCGTTAGGTGATAGTTGCAATTGTCTTTGAGTTCATTTCCTTGCAGTGTCAAGGTGCGTCAAAGCTCGGCTGGCCGTATTCACGCTTCAATTTCGGACGTATATTTATTTAAATCACTGTGGTGGTGGCAGGAGTAGGAAGAGTCACAAGCAACTCCTCTGGCAGCTCTCGGCCAGAGAGAATGCAGTGAAAATCGTAATTTAAAGCATTTTTCATTTCAGCTGCACAACAAAATAACCGAAATATAAGTTGAAATTAACTTATACATTGCTTAGCACTTAACACTTGCTTTATGCATATATTTTAATAGCTGCTGCTTTTTGGAATTTTTATTTATTTATTTGTGTCTTCTTTTTTTTTGTGTATTTGTATTTATGTTGCCTCGGTCCTGCTGCTGCTGCTGTTGTTTGATTTCAATGGACGTTTTTTGCTTTGGGTAGGTTTAAATTTGTAAGTGTTTCAAACGCGTGCACATTATCATCGGTTCACTGTTATTATTAACAAATTGTTTTCAATGAAAAAACAAAATATATATTTATTGTTGAGGCAACTTTTGTTTGTTAGCCACTTTGAGGTTAGAACAGCAGAGTTGTGTTGCGTCTGGGTATGTTGCACTGTATCGATATATCGATACCCAGTTTACATTTCGATGGCAGAGTGACTCTTGTGTGCGTTCACTATTTGCGCACTCATCCCTTGCTATTCAATATAACAGCGGTTTAAATTTACGATACTTTTCATACTCTTTATCTCAGTTTATAAGTAGAAAAGACAGGCACGATCGAAAATCCAAAGGACATCAACAGTCTTTCATTGATATACCATTTTTTATTTATTTGTGCTAAGCGAGTATATACCATTATTTACAATAAAAGCAGCTTGTTCTGTAAGCAATTCTACTCGATATTTAACAGTTGGTAACAGCAAATGTCGCTGTTAGGCTTGCTGCTAACTAACAGCTGTCAAAGCCCACGTATAAGTAGGAACATAAACAGCACCACGAATAAAAAAATATATATAAACATAGTTTTGTTAAGAGATTTCTAGCTCCATCAAAGAGCTTAGATTCATTTTGAGCCATAAAAGACGAACAAAAATGTCTGCTCATGATATAAAGTTGGAGGTATGCGTGGATTCCATTAAATCAGCATTTGCGGCAGAAGAAGGCGGCGCGGCGCGCATTGAGCTCTGTGCAGCACTACAGGAAGGCGGTTTAACACCCACAACCGGAACGCTGAAAACTTTAAAAGAGCTGCCATTTACCTTACCCATACACTGCATGCTGCGTCCCCGTCGTGGCACCGATTTCGTCTACAGCGAGGAAGAGATGCAGGCGATACAAACAGATATGGATATGCTGCGTACTCATGGCGCCGATGGCTTCGTTTTTGGGGCACTTACACCAGAGCGAACTATTGACGTGGACAAGTGTCGACGTGTGATGGAACGTTCGTGCGGACTACCCGTTACCTTTCATCGCGCCTTTGATCTCACCGACCCGAAGTTAATGCACGACAATGTGCAAATGCTCAAGGAGCTGGGCTTTAAGCGTGTTCTTAGCAGCGGTTTTCGTGCATCAGCTGCCGAGGGTGTTGATTCCTTAGCGCAGTTAATAGCAAAGCATCACCGCGACATTATAATAATGCCCGGCGCCGGCATCAAGGTAGCTAATCTGGAAGAGATTCTTACTTTCAGCCGTTGTCAGGAGTTTCATGCGTCTGCCTTGGACACAGCTAGCGAAGACTACAGTGCACCCACGACGACACGCATGGAGTGCGATGTAACAATGGGCAAACAGGACATTGATCCATACTATGGCACAAACGTCTACGTTGTCCGCAAAATGGTAGCTATAGCCAGCGCCATGAGCTGCAGATAAAGGACAATTACATTTATTTCAATCATTTATGCTATGCATATTTACAATGTACATATGTGAATTTGTCCAGTAGTTTCATCAATAACCATAAGCTACCGCGAACAGTGTCCTTAACCTTTTAAGATTACATTACAATTACATCCTAATATAGCGATATTTAATTTCAATCGATTGCTTTGTATGTTCATTTATACATTTTTGAAATCATTTTTAGCCAACAAACAAAATTAGAACGTTAAGCTGTCAAATAAAATTCGTGCGAAGCTCACCATCCGGCGTAATGATCACAATCGCAGATTGTGTAGAGCTCGCTAGCTTTGCCCAGCAATTGGATAACGCGGAGCACATGCTGAAAAGGGCCGACGAGTATAATGACAAACTTGCTGTCCAAATCGACAATCTGAAAAACGTCGTGCGCAGCAACCAAAATATACTTGAGAAATTACAAGCCAATGAGCAGCATATGAATACGCTATTCGAAGACCAGAGCCAGTCTGAGCTTCATGCTCAAATGATAACAGACGTCAAGCGCCTCAAAAAGAAGGTAAAGAAACCAACATCAACGTGCAGTTAATCAATATATAGCCTGTAACCGAAAGGATCTCTTATAATTACCAAGCGCAAATCAAGTTTATTTTAATTTATCGACAACTCTTGTTTGCCAAAATCGATAAGGATCAATTTTAAGGTCCGATTTTTTAAGCATATTTCGGAAATTCTCCAAATTTCTGTTTGTCACTTCTCAAAAAGCACTTCCGAACCCTTTAAAAGTGTTGAAAATATAAGAGATTTTTTTAGGAAAGGGCCATATTTGGCTTGAAAATGTCATTAATGAACGGATGATAAGCATTCATGAGTGAGTTTTTTTTTTATGGGAGCAGTAAGTACTTGTGTTTGTGTTTATTCATACGTTTGCATATGTGTTATGTATATCCGAATATATGTTTAGATAATTCGGAGCTAGGTAAAGGAACCCGTTACATGTTCATCTAATTCCCAACTACTTGTCACCAGCTTTTCGTTACACTGACCACGTTCGACCGGCTTGAAGCTGAGCAGAAGGCCTGCGTCGATAACCAGGAGCACAGCTCAGAGTCAAGCCTAGCGCAAGAGATCTGCGAACTTGGCGTAAATCTCGTTTCCATTGGCAATGAACTAATGTTGCTGCGTGATGATAAAGCGGCTGCAAAACGTGCATTATATCAACTACAGCAGTGGTCTTGCAGGGGGCCCAACATAGCCGAAACATGCTGGACCCATTGCAAGGCCCCGTTGCAGGAGAATACTTTGCCCGTTGACCAGCTGGCAGTGCTACGCAAAGCAACGGAATCTCTGTCCCTGGCGTTTAATAAATCAACAAAGTCTACTCGCGAGGTCCAATGTCAGCAGCACATAATTGAAAGAGGTATCTGATTATTTAACCATAAATACTGATATGTCAAGTTTTTATATTGTCTCAGTAGTTGAACAGGTTTTGGCCATAGCTGAGCAACTCAATATAAAATCCGAGAAGCTTTTGAATGTCAAAATCCTTTCAAAAATGGTGCTGAAGGCCCTGATTAAACGAAAGCAACTGTATCAGCTATGCTCTGACAATAAATTGCCCAATGAAAATTTGTCTAATATTACATTCGAACAAGTATGCCAGAAAACAACACGTGCAAATTTCAGTTGCAATCCGTATATTGAATAATAAACAAAACTATTGATTTACACATCAGTAAAATAGACAATAAATGGTCATTCAACAGTTTTTCACTGTTTTTTTTTTCTTTTTTTTTAACATTACGTGGGGAGTGTTCACTAACGTTGAATTATGTACTTTTCAGCTTAGCTCTAACGGTTTAAATTCCTACAGTTGGCAACAGTTTCTGTTGTAAGGGCACACCTGCTGCTCCTGTTTTGAACGCACATGTATGTTACATGAAGTTGGCAACAGTGGTACATATAAATTTGGGTAATTGCGCAGGCGCAAAAAAAATTGATTAATTTTACATGGTCTAGCATGTGAAGAAATTGCTACAACTAAGACCGAACAAGCAGTTTGACAACTATTTTGACTTCTGTGCGGCAATATTTGATTTAAATAGAACAAATCAATGCCGTAGACACTGCACAACTATTGGCTGTCCATGTCAACCGCAACGAGCTTATATTCAAGAGGAACATATGGATACATACGCCAGCGGCATGGACACTGACGATGGACACAGCAATGCCAGTAATGGCATTAGCAATGCTGTCAATGTCAGCCAATACGACTTTATGTTCGGCAAACATATGGAAACCTATAACGTGGAGGTGTGGAACATCTGCACCAGGATTTGTTGTATTTACTAATGTGTGCCCTTTCAGACCTCGGCGGTTCATCGCAAGCTGCAGAGCAAAGTTGAAGCGTTGCGCATTTTGCGCCAGGAGATGGAACAGTTTCGCGTGGAGCGTGATCAGTACAAATTGATGGCCGAGACGCTGCAGCTACGCTACTCGGCCATGAAACGGAATAGCGAACTGCTGGCCGGGAATGGCAATGCCTGCGGCGCTTTGAGCCAGAACTCCAGTCTGGCAGCGCTGCTGCACGAGACGCGCGAATTGAATCTGAAGCTCAACACGGAGGTGGAAGCGCTAAAGCAACGACTGGGCGAGTTGCAGGGCGACATGGAGCTGCTGCGTGAACGCGAATCCAATAGCAAGTCCAGGCTGCAAGCGCTGCTCACCGAAAATGCTGCGCACAACAAGGAGGAGCTGCAATGGAAGCGGGAACGGGCGAACTTCATTTGTCATCTGGAGAATCTAAAAAAGAAGAACGCACAACTGGCATTCGATCTCAAGGCGATTATTGACGAAAAGGAGGAGCTGATGACGGAACGCGATGCCTACAAGTGCAAGGCGCACAGGCTCAACCATGAACTATTAGTAGCACTAAAAGCCAACAAAATGCATCCAAATGTAAGTGGCTTGAATATATATTATTATCATATCTTGTATATATATTTAACCTCGACATTTCAGCTGCTGGACATTGATGGCGTGCTGCTGGAGAACAAGTACCTGCACGAGCGCGTCAAGATTCAGGAGAGCGAGCTGGAACTCTCTAAGCAGTCGGTCAGCAAGTATAAGGTAAATAAACCAATTCATATAGTTTTGCTGGGCGGTATTATTATGTTGTTTTTGGCCATACAAATATTGGAAACATGTACAATATTTAATAGTCCAGAAATAATCTGTTTATTCTTTAATCTAAAATCTATAAATTGCACTCAGTCCATGCTGGAAGCAAAGCGCAAAAAGGGCATTGTCAAGCTTGGCGGTAGCACAAATGATGAAACCATACTAAGCCCCAGACAAGGTGAGTTAATATACCCGAACGTGTGAATAACGCTGCTTATATAGATTTTATATATAATTTGTATTTGCAGTAAAAACTATACTAGAGAGCGGCATTGATCTGCCTGGCAAAACGGAAACAATACACGATCTGAAATCTTTGTGCTTGGCGCTCCTGGACAACTTAAATGACAAGAACTTGGCGCTGACGCATCAGAAGCGAACTAACAAGTAAGGATCAAAATATAATAAATACTCGAAAATGTTACTAACCACTCCTAAACGTAGAATCCTTGCGGGTAAAATGTCGGAGCTGGAACAGCGCTGGCAGCAACTACTCAGCGGTGACTCTGAAAATACCGCAGTGGAGGATGAGGACGAGGAGCTGGGCTATGCGCCATCGCAGCTGCTGCTTAATGGTTACTGTGCTGCCATGGTCGATGATGTGGGCCATTGTACAGAAGCGACAGCAGCGGCGGCGACTCCCTCGGCTTCTGCGCAGAAAACAAATACTTTATCATCCGAGCCATATGATATGAGATCCAGTGCCAATGAATGCATTGGTGTCTTGCAGTCGGATGACGGCATGTCCTCGCTGTCATCAGAGTCGGCTGACTCCTCTGTTTATGGGATAGATGTGCGACTGCATGATCTGGGCATCAATGCATTGAAATCATCCTCAGCAACGACAGATTCGGGCAATTGTGGTTTCGATTGCAATGGCACACCACGCGTATCCAGCGCCGTGGCTAGGGAACGAACGGAGGATCTGAAAGATTTGCCGCCACATTTGGCGGCATTGGTGCAGAAGGCACTGCACGATTTGGATATGCGTGACTACGAGGCGATGGTGACAATACGCGCCGAGAATGCTGCAACAATGCAGTAGTTGTAAACTTGTTGAAGTTTGTGTAATGCTTCCATGCACACCTATTCATGAAAGCATATCATGCATATGCCGTTATATACAATGCGAATTATTAGTTAAATATATTTATCTATTGTTTACAACGTACAATAAACACCTGTTTGCAGAGAAAAAGCGATTTAATTGTATTCTGTTTTAAAATATTTATTCCGTTAATCTGCGTGCAGTTTTACAGCACTCTTGACAGCTGTTTAAGCGTTGTCCAACACTGCGTGGTTACCATAGTATACATTTTCTGATAAGAAAGCTGTAGCTATTGCAATTGGAAACAAGTGTTTTATTTTTGTTTTGTTTTGAATTAAAAATGCCTTAGAGCTGCAAGTGGATAGCGTAGACGTTGTGAATTCAAGTGCCATTATTGTATGGAAATGGAGCTCCAATCAAAAAACAGGCAAAAACGCGTAACAAACACAGCGAAAACAAAGCCAACCGTCTGAACCAGCCCGCCGCCCAGCCAACCAACTCACACAATCCAATCAGATAGGCAGCCATTCAATGGATCCATTCATGTTGTCCAACGATGTGCAAATTGCACGCGTTGCCAAGATTGGCGCCGATGTGGCACGCCGCCACGGCAAGCAACAACAACAGCAGAGGGATATCAAAGGCATATCAAAGGGCGGCGGCGGTGTGTTAGACGATGACATTGAATTCGTCTTTGGCAGCATATCACCGCGGGGCGGCGGCCCCACCGCCAGTCTGGGACAACACAGGCATGTTGTAGGCTCCCATGAGCTGGACTCACCGGAGCATACGCAGCGCGACACAACCGAGAGCGACAACAACATATCCAGCTGCTCGACCCTGGACATTGTCAACAAAGTAAGTGAACGATACACAAATCCATAGGCGGGCATATGCATATGTACATATATATGTATAAATGGGTGTATATACATATATATATGCTTGTATTCATGTCAAATTGGCTGCGTTGCGCACTGCGCAGATGCGTGGCACGTCGCAGGGTCAAGCTGCAGCGGCGTGCCAGACGAAGTGCAGCAACAACGACGACGTAATCGTTGGCGAAAATTTGTGTTTTTTATTTTTATTTTGTTTGATCCGGTCATGATATCGGAGCAACTGCTGCCGCGCAGCCTAAGCTGTCTGTGCTGCAGCGACACGCCTCTGGGCGGCAACGGCGGCGGCCTCTTTCAGCATGCCGAGAAGCGACGCAGTTGGGAGTACACGCTAATGGCTCAGCCAATGTCGCGGCGCCCCATCAATGTGATATCGAAGATGATGTCAACACTTGCTGGCCAATTTTAACCTAAGCTCTGTACTATTGCAGGTTGAGCAGTTGTCCGTGCAACAGCTGGAGAATCGCGTGCGTGAACTGTCGCAGCGCCTGCAACAGGCTGAGCGCCAACTTGCTGAGAGCAATGTGGAGCGCGATATGTGCCACAAGCGTCTTGAGGTTGTTAGCCAAGCACACGAGTGCCGCATCACAGAGATGCACTGCGTAATTGCGGAGCTGAGCAAGAAACTACGCAGCAAACAGGAGCATATCATAATGGAGGAGCAGGAACCAGAGGGGGAGGGCAGTGGTAAATCAAAAAAAAAATACTACTAATTAAAGATAAATGCAAAAGAGATCTCCTTTTAACCCACAGAGCTGAGTTATCAGGAGGGCTCCATATATAACTCTGAGTTGAATCTAACCAATGCGGATGCCGAGGGTGAGTGCCAAACGGAACCGTTGGAGGATTTTGAAGGTGCCTGCTCCAGCGCGGACAACATGCACATCAAGCCACAGGATGCCATCAACAAGGGACAGCTGGAAGCCCTGCAAGAAGAGGTACTGCATCTACGCGCACAAATTGCACTGCTGCAGGCCGAAATGTCGACCAAGGATAAAGACTCAGCTGTCGTGGAAGATCAACCGAATGTCATTTATTTTGCCTGTGAACTTGAGGCCAATGAAAATGGCAACAATTGCGGTCCAAATGATCAGCGACTCAACGATTTGAATGGTTAGGCTAGATACGCTAATGTCTAATCCGTAATCCTGTTATACATCAATAACTTATCTTTTGTAGCCTGCGTATCTGTAACTAGCCCACAGAAGTGCGTCAAAATGGCTGAGCGGGTAAAACTGCGTTGCGCCAGCAAGAACGAGGCAAAAGTGGAGGCCCCACCCGAGAACGATAGCCAAACGGTGATCAGCAATGAGGTAAGCCGGCAGCTGCGCATATAGATTCCATCTCCCACACTTACTGATGGCGCCTTTTCAGGAAATAAATCTGGTCGAGCATTTGGTGTGCAAGCAAAACTCGCTAATGGACAGCTTTATGGCGCCTCTACAGGTCGAGCTGGAGAGACTTCAACGCAAAATGGAGCAACTGAAGATGCGCAATACATTGCTATCACTCACCTTGGATGAGTCCAAAGAGCACACGGAGCACCTGTATCTGCTTTGCGGCAAATACGAGTCAAACGCTGTGGCTCTGCAGCTGGCGCTCAATTGCAGCGATCGCGCCATCGAGGCCTACGATGTGATGCTGGCGCTACTGGAGAGCAGGTGGTTATATCTTTGGGCACATAAATAGAAGCAAATTGATTGATAAACTAACTTTCAGGCTGGCATTGCTCAGCGACAAGTCAGCCGCGGCCGAGGAGAGTCGCCGTGCTGTGGAAACGGTGGCGCATCATTTGCTGGCACGACTAGAGAGTGAAAAGAATCTGTGCGAAAACAGCTTGGGTCCCTGGCAGCATAATATTAATCTGGGCGTTGATAATACGCCCAAGGGCACACGTAAATGGTGCGACGACGACGACAATCGTCTGCGTTATCACGTCTCTAAGTTGAAGGGTAGACGCTCGGTCGTGCAGCATACCATAGTTAATCTGGAGTCACCATTCAGTGATGTCTTTGAGAAGAAACGTTTGGCTCTGGAGAAAGATCAGGAGTTGCGCGAGCACGAGCACGAGCACGACAAGGAAAAGAAGTCGCCCATGGATCTGGAGACGGCTGTCATAATGCAGGAGCTGCTTGACTTACGCGAACAGAACCATCAGCTGAAAACTGAAAAGGAGGAGGCTGAGCGCGAGCAACAATATGCCAATGAGCGTGTGAGCATTCTGCACGAAGCGCTCAAGCAGCTGCAGTCAGACAATCGGGTATCCTACTCTGAGGCCGAGCATGCTGCGCTCACAGAGCAGCAGCTGGTCGAAGCGCTGAGTCGGGAAACGGAGCTAAAAAGTCGCATTCAAACCCTGCTGAATATCAATGCCACACAAAAGGCCAACGACGAGAAGTGCGAGCAAATGCATCAGAATTTGAGGCAATTGCAAAAATCGAATGAGTAAACTAGAGTAAAAAATGATATAATCCACAGATTTAACAATTTCTTCCTTGCAGCCAGCTGAGCCAGCTCCTGGAGCAGAGCAAACGCAAATATCAATTGCGCATGAAAAGGTTGGAGCAAAAGGTGGCCGAAATGCGGCTGGAGCAGGAGCAACAGCACCGACACAGATTGCAACACAACGAACTTGTTCCTGAGACGACGTTGTAGATGCTAGCTTGGACGCACCGGAGTGTAGAAGCGCACACGCCTGCCACATATCCTGCTAAATGCTATGGTTCCTTTACTGTCTGCTATTTTGTAACTCAAACCCGTTGCTGCTGCTGCTCCCGCCGCCAATGCGCCACACAGTGTCCGCTCCGGGCGACCCCCTAGCCATAGATTGTATCACGAATGTGCCATACAGGACTACAACTGAGAACAGCAAGTGAAGCTGTATTAACTACAATTACATACATACGTATACTTGCATATACGATTAATTGAATCTAGAATAGGTGGAAAAGCTACCACACAACGCGTACACACACGAATCCTATATTTATACAATGTATTCGCATTTTGCTTGTTATATGACTCAATATATATGTATTTAAATTGTACAAATTATAATAAAAAAAACTACGCATCATTTGTCGTCTCATCCTCATTCCCGGCAGCAGCGTCATCCACATCATTGCTATTGGTGCCATTGCTGTCGCCTCTTGTTGCATGGCCATTAATATGCTCCGTCTGTGGTAACTGCACTTCGCTTGAAGGCGTCAGCTGCTCGAGTTGCTCACGTGCCGCTTTAATGACTTTCTCCAGCTCGACGCATTCAGTTTCAATTTCATAGTTCTTGGATACGAGGAGCACCCAGTGTGCCTCTAGAGCGCGCAGCTTCTCACCCGCCTGTGTTTGGGCCTGTTTACGCTGCCAGTTAACATCCTGCATATCCTTTTTCAGCTGCTGCAGCTGAAGCTGAGCTTTAGCCTGCATCGCTGTAAACACTTCCAGATAGGATTTCCAGGCTTCAGTGCCGTAGTCCAGCATAAGCTCAAGATTTAATGAACGCACCCATTGATGCTCCAGCTGTGCCATTGAGTTCTCAATAGACTCTTGCCAGGCAGAGACCTCGGATAACTTGCCCGAAGGTGGCGGCGGCAGTTCGTAACGCTTCATGGAGAGCGTCTCCATAGGCAAACGATTCTGTATGCGTTCAAATTCATTGATCATCAGCGGCGTCTCAAATGGTGTATTCGTTGGCAGTGGCAGGTGATCCAGGTAGTTCTTGGTGGGTCTGTAGCGCCGGCATTCCTCCTCGACCATAGCCATCGCCTGGTGGCACAAAAAAAATATAATAGTATCGGAACAACATAAAAGAAACACTACACTATATACCGATTCTCTGACGCCCACATCGTCATAGCCATGATCTATATAAGGCAAAGCATCGACAATAACTTCATCAGCCATTTGTTTAAAAATTTATTTGCTTTTGACAAAATTCACTATTTCTGTTTATATTTATTTAGTGCTGTAAAACGTGCCAAGCATTCGATAAACATACGTATTTTGAGCACTTTTCATTTTGACAGTTCACCATCCATGTTGCCTTAAATGCAACCGTGACGTCTGAAAAACGATTGGCAGCACTTTTAGCCCATTTCCGGCAGCTCTCTTTCTTTCTTCGTTCTTCTTATTAAATAGAGGACGGCATCTGCATTTGCAGAAAAATTAAAACCATTTATTGGGATTAAAAATCAGCGAAAATGGTGAGAAAGTGTATTTAAGTGTTGCTAGGGTCGCCGTCAACTGCAAAACGCGTCGTTTTACAGTCCTTAAACGCGAAAAACATGGAAAATATGCTACAAAACTTCGTCCTAACCTCCACGTGTTGGCAGTGTGCGGCGGCCGCGCGACGTTGACAACGCTGCGTGACTGTTTTGATTTATAATTGAACAAATTATTTTCGATTGTGCTTGCAGAGCTTAGGCAACGCCAGGCCATTGGTCTCCGTGTACACGGAAAAGAATGAGGCAGTCAAGGAGAAGAACATCTGCCTGCCAGCGGTATTCAAGGCACCCATCCGTCCGGATGTGGTCAACGAGGTGCACCAGCTGATGCGCCGGAACAACCGTCAGCCCTATGCCGTCAGCGAACTGGCGGGTAAGTGCATCAATCGCGCGTATTTGTTTGTAAACAAGTTTATATATCTCATTAATTCCAGGTCACCAGACCTCCGCCGAATCCTGGGGTACTGGCCGTGCCGTTGCACGTATCCCTCGTGTGCGTGGTGGTGGTACTCATCGTTCCGGCCAGGGTGCCTTTGGCAACATGTGCCGTGGTGGTCGCATGTTCGCACCAACCAAGACCTTCCGTCGCTGGCACCGCAAGGTGAATGTTAACCAGCGCCGTTATGCTCTGGTGTCGGCTATTGCTGCCTCCGGTGTGCCAGCGTTGGTGCAGTCTAAGGGACACGTTATCGATGGCGTTTCCGAGTTCCCATTGGTTGTCTCCGATGAGGTGCAGAAGCTGCAGAAGACCAAGCAGGCTGTTGTCTTCTTGCGCCGCCTGAAGGTCTGGGCCGATATCCAGAAGGTGTGTACACAATAACTGCCTAATGTGGTTAATTTGCAGCAATGTATACGTAAACGGAATGCCTATGATTTGTATTTCGTTTACCTGCTCCCCGGAGCAGTAATCATAATGCGTTGCTAGATCAAATGCCCTCCTAGGCGTTACGATTGTAGCCTGATCCAAAGCTACAACCGTTTGCAGTGGAGGGCAACATATAGATCGTTTCGTATTGAGCGATTGATGCTAAATTTCAAATCCATTGCAGGTGTACAAGTCGCAGCGCTTCCGTGCTGGCCGTGGTACCATGCGCGACCGTCGCCGCATTGCCCGTCGTGGCCCACTTGTTGTCTACCACAAGGATGAGGGTCTGCGCAAGGCGTTCCGCAACATCCCCGGCATTGAGACCATCAGTGTGGATAAACTGAACTTGCTGAAATTGGCTCCAGGCGGTCATGTTGGTCGTTTTGTCATCTGGACCGAGTCGGCATTCTCGCGCCTGAACGATCTGTTCGGCACCTGGAAGAAGCCATCCACTCTGAAGAAGGGTTATAATCTGCCCCAGCCTAAGATGGCCAACACAGATCTGTCGCGCCTCTTGAAATCCGAGGAGATCCGTAAAGTGCTGCGTGATCCACGCAAGCATGTGTTCCGTCGCGTGCGCCGCCTCAATCCCTTGTCTAATGTGCGTCAACTGATCAAGTTGAACCCATATGCTGAGGTGCTCAAGCGTCGTGCCGCCCTGGCCGCTGAGAAGCGTACCGTGGCCAAGGTATTGGCCAAGGCTAAGAAACAGAACGTCGAGCTGGCCAAGTCGCACTTTGCCAATGTCGCCACAAAGGCTGCTGCCAATCGCGCTAAGCTGTTGGCCGCTCGCAAGAAGAAGGTTGCCGCCAAGAAACCAGCGGCCAAGAAGTAACTGATTTACTTTCCACGTAATAGCCGACTACAAAACACACTCTTTTTATATAATAAATAACAAAAGTTGTATGAATTTTATTCATAATACAGTGCGAAAGTAATATCTATATTAAACTATTTAGTCTTAGGCCATTAGTTGTTGCTCTTTTTGCTGCCTCGTGTTTGCCTCTCTCTCTCTCCCTTGCGATGTTCTCTTTAATGATGCCCTCTCTTTTGCTGAGCGCGTCAGCTGATAACATTTAGTCGCTGCCTATCGATGCTCTTATCGGCTGTGCTTTTGTCGCTCGTGAAATGCTGCTGATGATGATCTTCGGCATGCGCTACGTTTATATTTTGTATGTGCCCACATTTGTTGTCGCACGTTAATTGGCATTTAATTAAACAGCAACGATTGCAAGCGTGTTTATTCCGCAGTGAACGCTCGAGTCGAGCAGTCGTATCAATTCCGCGTTCTGTGTGTTGCCTTTTGCAATTGGCGAGCAAAAAAAGAAAGGGAAAAGAAAAACAACCAATAACAAAGGAGCCGGCAACAATGGCCAGTACGAAGCAATAAGCACAAAGGAAAGGACAAAAGTCCACTTGAACAGTGTCAGTGCCAAAAAAGACACAACAATTGTGCTAGTGTTTAATGCACAATTAAAAAACAAATAAATACTAATAATAAAGCGTGTGTTATCAAGATTCATGCGTAAAACACAAAAAAGAATAAAACAAAATTAAAATAAACCAAAACGCGCAGAATCCAAATCATACGATACTTTATAATATTCACAACGTTGTCTCGCGAATTACGGGTCGCGACATCGACAATGTCTGGTTATATAGAGTAGAACGCAATATAGGGAGAGGCGAGACGAGACGAGTCGAGCGCATCTGTACATACACATAGCAGCAGCAGCAAGCAGACGTAAACAGTCATAGCCAGAGCGAGAGCAGGAGGCGCTCTCTCCATGCGCGTCGTATTTTTCCGCAAAGATTGCGGCCACGAGAGGCAAAGTACATACATATCTGCCAGCAGCATCAACATTATACTAGAGCCGCATTATTGGGTGCCATCTGATTAGCGGGCCACCATTGCAAAGACCCCGCACTTTGGAAGCCAGAGTTCGAGATTTTTTTTTTGTTTTGGATACACCTTCGCCAGTCCAGCCATGTTGACGAGCGTTTTGAACTTTGCCCAATGCGTGGCGGAAATTTCCTTGCTTGGCGGCATCGAAATCGCATCGGTTGCACTTATTGTCTACTACGTTTTTGCTAAAACTAGGTAAGTACATATCGGTGGGCATGGAAGCCAGAGAAATCATGCGGCGACGACAGTGGTTCTGCCGGCAACAGCAGCATCTGTCGGGTTCAATTTATGACGCCGACAAGCAGCTGTACATACACCACACAAGCATATGCAGACTCACACAAATACATGCATGCGCATGCATACATGCACATACATACAGTGGTGGCTTCCAAATTAGTATGGTTCTATTCAAGCCATGATTTCAATCTGCGAAAAATTCAAATTTTTCATTATGGCATTTGTTTATAAAATAAAATAAAATTCATTATTATTTCAACTCGTTTAGGGCTTCTACATTAAGTATGTATAAAGTGCCTAAAAACAGTAAAAAATAAATAAAAGAGTTGTCACAAAAATAATTTTAGCTTCAACTAAAAACATGCTGTCAGTTTAATTTTCTAACAATTCCTATCTGTCTCAAATCTACTTTCTCTGATCTCAATGCGAAAATGACTTAAATGGATTTATGCAATATGCATTTAACGGTCAAAATAAAATATGTTTTAACGCGATCGAATGGCCTTCAGATAAGGAATATGTCCGCTTTAAAAATATGTATATCGATAAAAAGGAAAAAAAACAAGGGAAAACATATTAAATTCTACTTTTTCAAATGATAACAAACTGATACGAATCTTAATACCAAGACGTATTTAAAACATAGACATTTCCGAATCATTTTTGATTAGCTATTCGATCGACCATCCCTCAACACAATTTTATCGATAAAGTTGTAAATCTGTAGTTTCTACAATTTAACAGTCAAAGTTGTAATGCCACTGGCCAATTTCTAAAGTTTTAGGATCAATACAAAAATCTTGCTTCTAACAGCGTGTAATTCAAGTTCGTTATAGTTATACCAACTGCAATAAGTTTACTTATTTACATATATGCATGTATGTATGTGCTGTACTTATGTAAATTGGTGGCCAAAAGCGCCGTTATTTTTAGACACACAAACAACCAAACAGAGCGAAGTAATGAACATATGTATGTAGCATGTAGTTGTTGCTGCATCGCTTGAGTTATGCAGCGCACGCGAAATGAGCTTTCGATTCTGTTCTACGGCAGGTGGATGAGCTTCAAGTAACGCCCACCGGCAGCGTGCACTCTGCGCTTTTGAGCTGCTTCTTTGTTTGTGTCGCGCGCGCAATTTACAAATTCTGCGTGGTCGAACGTGCCGTTTTGCATAGCGCTTATCAAGCACGTGTCGTTGTGCGCGAAGGAAGAGCATCAGTTTGTCGGTATGCTAGTTCTAAGGATGCGCAAAGGTCATTTGCATTCTCGCTTTCTCAACGCTGACGCAAGCTCAAGTTTTTCTATTACTTTTTGCATGCACTCGCGCCTGCCTCCCACAACGCCGCTATGACGCTTTCTGCCCTCTCTACTCTCTCTTTCTGATAAGCAGAGCAACTCGTTCGATCGTTTGGCAACAATTATCGTAATTGAAAATCGCACATACGAATGGACGCACACAAATATGTATTAAATGAGCAGCTAATTAACTGATTGGCGTTTTGCTATTGTTATTTTAAGTGCACACCTTTAATCGGGCGATAAACCTAATCTGCATTAATTGAGCCCAAACAGTACAAAGCTCATTTCATAATTTGAGCCGATTGATGTTTTGCTACAATGGAGTCAAGAAGAAATTGTTAAATGCTATTCGAGGCGATTACTGTTTCAAAATATCAGGCAATAAGCGATTAAACAATAAACAAAGTGACAATGCATGTGTCAACCAAGTACAGTAAACTCTCGCAAATTAGAACGCTTTGAGTTCAAAGTTGATTCTCTTTGTTGGAAGCTCTGCCGGAAGCTCTTTCAGTGATAACAATTATGAAAAATGTATGACTATAAATAGTTCTAACAATGTTTGTGCCATAAAAGCTCTCGTCCGCCATAAAATATGTTGAAAAAGTTGCAAAAGCTCTGGAAACCATTTATTTGTATTATATTTGGCATAGGCAAACTTATATATTTTTGGTAAAAACAAAAAAAATGAATTGCTTTAAATTTTCTTGTCGATTTAGTGACAGCTTTTATTGATTAAAAAGATTTGGTGCAAAAAAGAATTGCGCAGGGTTTTCAAAACATAAAATTTTAAATATAACCATTAAACAATTGAAACAATAAGAGCTTTAGATTCACAGCATATAATCCATTGGAAATGTCAATTGCTAGACTCTGAACAATTGTAATCTCTTCCAGCTTTTATTTCGTTCCGATCATTGTATTCGTGCATGCTCATACAAATATTTACGTATATACAAATCTACGTAGTTTTCAGCACTTGAGCCGCTTATACTAAAAACTTTCCATAACATGAGTAACGGAAACTACGAATTTATTATTCATATATTCACGAAACATCTGACTTTACACGTTCCTTAATTAAAAGTGAGTCGTTCATCAAATGTATATATAAATAAACTGTTTTATTTCTTCTTAAATTTCAATAGTTTTGGTTTCCTACCCTTTCGCCTCTTTTTCACAGACTTCCTAGTTGACGTTGTTGAGGTCGCCTGTGAAAGTAACTTATTGAATTCCTCCAGGAGATAGCTATCGCTCATCTCAATTTCCGAATCAGTAGGCGTCGTGTCTGTGGTGCTAAATGAGGGTGTGCGGGGGCGGCACATCATGCGTGCCGTGCTCGAGATATCAGTGGAGCTTAAGCTAGTATCGGGCAGCAATTCCTCTTCGCGACGTTCATGATAGTCTATATAGTCGCGCAACTCGGCGATGCGCTTCGTTTCCGTTTCATTTTGCTCCAGCAATTGTTCCTGCAGCTTTCTGTAGCCCTGCAGCTTGCGCTTCTTTTTGGCCATGCGCGCCTTCTGCTTGTAGAAGTTCGTATAGTGAATGATACGCTGTTTACTTTGAAACTTGCTAATGGTCTGATACATTCTAAAAAAGATGATGGGATCCAAAAAATAGTTGGCAACATTGCTGGGCATATCGTGTGTTATTGTGACGGCACTTAAGCTGCGATTGCAGACGGGACACTTTCGGTCGCCATCAGTTGATTTGGGCATGCAGCTAGCGCAGATTATGTGATGGCATCGAGTTAGCTTAAATTTTATATCAGGCTTAGAATCCCGCTTGCTAAAGCAATTATTACAGTATATGGGAAGCATAATCAAACTTATTTTAAATACACAACTCACGGATTTCATGCAACTATCTGGCAACACATTTAGGTTCGAGATGAAGGACGTCCTTGCCACTCTGTTGTGTTATATCAATACAATTCGCTTGGTACAAAGTTCAAAAGGCTTTGTTTTTGTGGACAACTAATAACTTATCAGGCAAGCGTATATACAATTATATATATATACGCTGGGTTAGTGAACTTTATAAAATACATACATATTTAAAAATTGGACTACAGACTGTATGAGGTGCTTTCAGTGGGGCAGCCAAGAATTTTATTGCTTTATTGCGTGCTACTGATTCGATAACAGCTACCAGTTATTTATTTAATTGAATACAGGAGGCCTGCCAATACATAATGCAAAGATGGTGAATTATTGTTAATTTACACACATAAATTTCTTTGTTTACAGAGCTCCCGCAATTATCGCCCGTTTATTTCCCAATCTAAATCTAAGCTATCGTTCATCGTTGGGAAAGTTCAACACCATTGGCAACGACATACTGTTCACGCTTCGTGCATCAAATGTAAGTTTACGTCGCTTATCAAATCGCATGCACATTCAATAACCTTAGAATACGTAACGCTATTTTGATGCACAATACAAACATACATATGTACGCGGCGCAAAGCTGATAAGCTATTCATTCAGTAAAGCACAACGTACACATGCATACATAACATGTAGCGCCAGCGATGCCATTTGATATTTGCGCGAAGTTGCCATCTTTACTATTTCTTTGTTGTTGTCCGACTCGATAGTCTCGCACTCAAATCGATATACTTTAGAAAAGCTAGACGAAAGTTATCGCTCACCGCATTTGGTTGCCGGCGCTTTGCTCAATGAAATGTGATTTTTATACAAAAGAAACCATATATAGGTGAATCTCTTAATTTTAATTACAATGAATGAGTTCCAGGCGCGAGGCTGGTTTGAGGTAAGCTTTTTTCTAGTTAGACATGCGTGCATATGTGTGTATTACGTATTTACGCATTTGCGCGGGCAAATTGCATCACTTATGTACAGATATGTGCATACATACATTTGTGTATATATATTTGGATATAAATATATAGATTTAATTTTACTGTCGTTTGTACAGGAGCCGAAAGCCCAAAACTTTGTGGACCATGGCGTTGGCACCCAGAACATGTTACAGCTAACGCCACATGCGGGCTTAAAGCCATTCAAAAGCGTTTTTGACTGGGGCAGTATATTCCCCTATGTGGCTCAGGTTGTGCGCAGCGAGAAGTTTGATTACCGCCAGGTGAGTACACGTCTTTGGGACACATTTACAATCACAATTAACGTCTCATTATCTTAACACTATCAGGTCACTGAAATTGTGCAAAAAGATGTCGTTTTAAAACATGCCATTAAACAGGCCGCCGAGCAAACTCTACGTGAGCAACGCTACGCCAAAAATGGACATCGACTGCTCGCGCGTAGCATTAGCGGTGATCAGGATGAGGAGGAGGACGCCAAGGTGGGCATATCATATCAGAAGATACTGTCTAAGCAAGAACAACGCGCCTTCACAATACTCAAGGAAATGGGCTCCACTTTAAACAATACGTTGCTAGCGATTACCTCCTGGCTGCTCTATAAACTCTTGCCATGCTTTCTGTCCGGCGTTGTGACAAATACGAAACAAATTGAAATGCTGCAGAATGCTTCAAAGCGCTCACCGGACACACCGCTGATATTCGTGCCGCTGCATCGCAGCCATTTGGACTATATTATGGTCACTTTCATTCTGACCAATAATGATATACGCAGTCCACTTGTGGCTGCTGGCAATAATCTGCAGATACCAGTGTTTGGCTCACTTCTTCGCGGCCTGGGCGCCTTCTTCATCAAGCGGAAAATCGATCCCGTTGAGGGAAAGAAGGATGTGCTCTATCGCGCAGCGCTTCATTTGTATTTAACGCACGCTCTCAAACAGGGTCACAATGTTGAATTTTTCATCGAGGGCGGACGTACGCGCACGGGAAAGCCTTGCATGCCCAAGGGCGGCATACTATCTGTGATTGTGAATGCCTTCATGGATGGCAGCATACCGGACGCCCTGCTGGTGCCCGTTTCCGTAAACTATGAGCGTCTGGTCGATGGTAATTTCGTGTGTGAACAAAAGGGGGAAAAGAAGGTACCTGAATCGTTCAGGAAGGCCATTTCAGGCATTTGGAAAGCACTCAACTCAAACTATGGACTGATGCGCATAGATTTTAATGAACCCTATTCAATACGCGAGCTCGTCAACTCGTACAATAAAATTGCACGCGAAGATGGCAGCTCAAAGGTGTACAAGCCAGCAGCCAGGTACATTGTAATCACGATTCGTATGTAAATTTGTAAATTTTATATATTTCATTTTGAGAAAACAGGACGCTGCAGCACAATCAATCAACGTCATCCTTATACGGAACTGATGTGGTTTGCGAGGAGCAGCGCAATCTTATAGAGAGCATCTCGAGACAGGTAGTTTTTGACTGTGCGGCAGCCACGTCGGTTATGTCGACCAATGCTTTGGCCTTTTTGCTGCTCACACGCTACCGCAAAGGCGCCGAAGAGCAGCTCATTGCCGCTGCGCTGGATGATCTGCGGAATTCGCTGTCTGGTTGCAAAGATTTGGGTTTTTCGGGCGAATCGGCGCACATTGTGGCCTATGCTTGCGATCTGCTGGGGACAGGTAAACAAAATCAAAACGACCTTGTTTTTATGTATATATTCAAACATTTCACAGAGCTGGTAACACGCACACGCGACGAGAATGGCCACATGTTTATTCGCGCGGTGCCCTCGGTGGAGAGCTTCATTGAGTTGGCTTACTATTCAAACATGTTAACTCCCCACTTTGCACTCAGCTCCATATTGTTGACCACATTTCATGCGCTCCTGCCAGAACCCAATTTGTCCGACAAAGATGCTAATCAAACAGTTGGTGTTTCGCAGAAAAAACTAATTGAGACAGCGCTGGAAAACTGTCTGGTCTATCGCTACGAATTTATACTAAACAAGCCCACGCAAGTATTGGAGGCTATGCTCTTTAAACAGCTGGAAGAGCTGCTCATCAATGGTTGCCTGCGCAGAAATGAGGTTATTTATATTCTTATATATTATATATCGAAAGATGCTGATAATGTATATATTTGTAGGTGCAAGAATCAGAACATATTGCGGAGACACGTCGCTTGGCACGTAGATTGGCCTATGATTTGAATGAAAATGATGATAATGATGAGGACTATCTGCATGAGTCGCATGAGGATGCTGAGTTGTTGCTGCTGGCCAGAGATACACTCGAGCAGCAGCGGCACATTTGCGAAGTGCTAGCACCGTTTGCATCAACATATCTGACTGTAGCCCAATCGCTGCAAATTTTACATCGGAGCGCAATGCTGGAGTCTGAGTTTATCAGTTTCGTTATCAACGATCTTACCAACAAAGTAAAGCGTGGCAGCTGTGCATACGGTAAGCGCTGATAAGTAATTTAAATAGCGAGGTAAGCTCATTTGTATTTTCCTTCCAGCTGAAAGCATCTCAACGGACTCTGTGCGCAATTGCTTGAAATTGTTTGAGAAATGGTCTGTGATTGAGGTATGCAACCAGCGTGGCATGCGTCTGATCTCGCTTAACACACTTTACGAAATGTCATGTGAATCGCTCAACACCATTGTTAAGAAGATTGAAGCCGTTGTGCCAAAGTTCAATGCGGGTCACTTTAGCCAGAAACAATTGAACGACCCGCCGTCTGCTTAAGCAATATGCTTTTGTTTTCATATATAATTTTTTCTTTACGTTTGGCACTAGTTTCTCTATTGCTCTCGTTACAAAGTAGTTAAATCTACTTAAGATTAAAGTGCATACTCTTAGATCTAACAGTAAGACGTAATATATATCTTTAGTTCTTTAGTCGTACGAATACGAGTTATGCCAATGCCAAAGAGCTTCCTACATTTTTACCGTAGGTTAGCTAAGCGACTAAACCAAAACTGGAACAAAATATGTATAATTGAATGCATATATATGTGCATACATATGTAAATAAGCATATTTTTTATGGGCAGATGTTGAAGCAACTATATCTAAACTTATAAATATAATTTCAACCAAATAATGAACTGATTTGATAATGAAATAAAATTTTTGTAAAACAACGAAACTAAATTCTTGTTGCAACGCCTTCTTGTTTTATTGTTTTTCATATGAATTGATAAATTTAAAAATCTTTCCTAAAAAATAAATATTTTTACCCTTGTGCGAATATTATAATTTTTCATTACATCTTCGGCAACACAAAGTACACCTATTCTTAGCCTTTATCAATAGCCGATACAATATAGCCATGTCCGTCTGTTTTTATGCAAACTCAGTTTGAAATTATAAAACTTTGCATAGTTCAGTATTTCTTCTCTAAATTATATAGCTGCCATAGGAACGCACGGCCAAAAAGATGACTTGAGCAAACCTTGCATTTTTGGTTTCACTGTGCTTATGTACAAGCCATACCTTAACAACATCGGACAACTATATCATGTGAGTTTTTGAATTGAATAACTTTTTTTTTTTGAGATATTTTTACCACCAATTACGACCTGAATAGTCTCCTCGCATAATAGTAAGGCTGAATACCATAATTATAAAAGGCTATTTAATCTTCTGCGTGCCGAAGAAAGTCTTACATTCTTTTTTTTTTGTTTTGTTCCTTTTTTCTTTTTATAAAATTCATACTTAAGCATAACAAACAATAAATATATATGTAAATATAGAAGCGTCCATTATCCGGCAATATTCAGATTTTTATATAAACAAAATGATAATCAATAAGCAACAGAGATGTCACAAAAAAATAAACTATATTCCTCTCAATTAAACTACGGCTCTTTGCTAGCAGGAGCAGCATCCGATGGTTGCTCCGTGGGGGGCACATTGTCTACGCTCATGTGCTTAGATTTGGACTTTCTCGCAGCTTTCTTCTTGGGTGCGCCGACATGGATGCGAATGCCCTTGTGGCGTGGTAATTGCTTGATCTTCGTCTCCTGTTGGTAAATTGATGTTTATGCAGTTATGAACATTTTTCTTCAAATAGATGCCTACCTTGACCTCCTCATCCTTCAGCTTGCCGCCAATCTCGCCAGAACAACGCTTGGCGCCACAGAAGCAAGCTTTCTTTCCATTATTCATGAGATCATCCCACAGATAATTGAACGTCAGCTCAGTATTCTAAAGGAATTTAAGTGTCAAATTCTTTTTTTATTATTGGGTTAGCATATTCCTTACCTCTGGTATGTCCTTAATGGCAAACAGTCCCACGCGGTTAATGCAATTTACAGTCCACTTTTGGGTCGCACAGTTAGGTTCACACGAGTGGTTCATAAAACGAGCAAGATTTCCTTTGGGTCCCGCATCAATGATGAAATCTTTTTCGACTCCCAGAAAATAAAAGTTCTCGTCACGATCGCGGGTCTTTTGTGCCATTCGACGCTGAAACTCCGCATGATTGATTACCTCGCCCACATACTCAATGATAAAGTCACCCTCGGCGATAGGTTCACGGCACACTAAGCCAAAGCCGCGCTCGTTCATGTAGACGACCTCGAGACGTGGCGATTTACGCAGTTCGAATAATTGATTCTCGCATTGACGCCCAGCATGACAGTAATCAGGATGGCATTCGTGAAAAAGCATGCGATTAAGGCAACCCGATTCGGGACCGCAGGGATGTTCGCTGCCTGGTTTGCATTCGCAAATGTTGAGATCCTCTTCGTTGTAGACGAAACGAACTGGCGGTACGGGTTTGTTGGCCTTGATCTTAATGTACGGCGGCGGATAGAGCTTGTTACCGCTAAACCGACCAATGGCCTGCTCTTGCCGCTTGTCCTTGATGATCTTCAGAAAACGCGTGGCCTCCTCCACGCCGGCCGTGTAGCGTTTGGACATTAGCGACTTGCTCTTGTAGCCATCACCAGTGTCGCCCTCAATATAAAGATAGACGCGTCGACGCGATATCCACCCATGATCGTTGGTGCCAAAGAAACGCACCACAAAATCGTTGGCGCCATGTGGCTTCTTGAGTATGTTGCTGGGAATCTCGGTGGGCGGCAGAATGATGGACGGCCACCAGCGGAAATTATTGAATTTGGCCCAAACTATCTCGCCATACAATGGCAATCGTCCGCTTTCGCACTCCTCACAGATATAGCTCTCATTGGTCTTGATTGGAATGTTACGGCAGTGAGCGTGCACCGCAATGGGACAGGTCTCGCAACAGACGAGCTCACCGCCACGCACACAGATGTAGCACCACAACACATTTAAATTGGCATCTGCCTTGGCAATGTTGTGTCTGGGACAGATCAGATGCGTGACGGTTAGCATGCGCGAACCGGCTGGAATGCAACGTGAATCCTGATGATAAGTGGCCGGGCACTTTACGCACTTGGTCAGCTTGGCGCTGCCCAGCTGCTGGTATTTGCCGCTGGGATCATCTGAGACGCATGTGTGACACACATGCATGGGACAGCGCGTGGATGAGTTGCTTATGCTCGCTTGCGGCCAATATTTGCAGCAGCTGGCATGAAACTTATTGCTGCACATGGGCTGACAGCAGAGTATTAGCTTGTTGCTGACAAGCGGCTCCTCAACCTCTGATATTGCTGTCGCTGATGCAACGGATTCTTTGTGCGGTGACGGAGGCGGCGAGCTGGCTGGCAATTGCTCCTGATGGCATATGCAGCATGCATTCGATTTGCCACTGGCGCACTCGTGACATACAAGCGGCTCCTTGTCCTGCTCCTGCTTAATCTCGTCGCCAGTTATGTGCTTAACTAGCGTCGACGTTGTTGTCGGCTCCACTTCTGAAACGGGCGAGGAACTGGTCAGCGGTTCAGGAGCCTTGCTTGGTGCCGCTCCGATTGTCTTTGGACCCTTCTTTGCTTTAGTATTTACAGTTCTTTGTTGCTCCAAGCAAGTGGCATGCAACCAACTGTTGCAGTTAACCGAACAGCGCTGTATATCGCCGCCCGGCTCGTAGCAGTACTTGCACACAGGCTCCCGATTAAGCCCGCGGAACAGATACTTGCGGTCCAGCTGCAGTATATCCTCAACCACCTCATCAATGGGTCGGCCGATGGGTTTTCTAACCTTGGGATTGTCCGAGAGATGACGCTCCGGCTGCATAGACTCGGGCGTCGATATCTGTGCGGGTGCAGCTGTGCTGGGCGTCACAACTGGGGTTATACTGCGTCTCAGCATCATGGTCTTTAGACGATTCGAGAGCCGCTTTATTGTGCCAACGCCACGACCACGTTCCGAGCCCAAGCGAGCCGAACCCAAAAGTTCTGATTCACCACTGGCCAGATCGCGCTCCAGCTCACGCAACTGAAGCTGCTTTAGTGACCAAATATTGCGCACCACTGCCAGAAGCACCTTCTCAACCTTCTCCTCTTGCCGATGCACCATGACGTACTCTTTGATTGCATCGAACAGCTGCCCAAACTCGGGATTTTTATAGTTAACCAAATCGGGTGATATTGGCTTCTCATCGTGAGGCTCAGGCAGAGGTGTGTAACCAGCTGGTGCCTCTAAGCTGCCACTGAGCTTCCGCCGTTTCGCACGTTTTTGGTGGTTGTGTTTGACCGGCGAAAAGGCCGGACTAAATGGCGAGGAGGAACGTTCGCGCTTCAAAGGCACTGGCTGTGAAAGCTGTGATTTAGCAAGCAGATTATCCGTGGAATCATACAGGCTGCTGCCCACATCGGAGGTGTCCTGCCGCACAGACTTTGTGTATTTGCGCTTTTCCTTGTTGTGGGTGCTGCAAGGAACAAAAATACAATTTTTAGCAAGGAAGAAAAGTTATCTACGGGATTAGGATAAGTGTGCGTTTTACGGCTCGCACGGACCAATTGTGAAATAAGAATTGAGTATATTTTTTAAAGAGTGCTTCTGCGATTAGTGTGTTACCATTAACCATGTAACTGACAAGCTGATACCCTGTACCCAGCTCTGTGACATACATTCGATTTTAGATCTTCATACAAACTGTGCACAGTATGAAAAAAATGCAATAACTTCAAAGTTCCGATCTACAGTATACAAAAATCTATATGCCAAAATTTGTGTCAAATTTCTATTGTAGACGATATTTGCTCAAAAAGTAAGGCTCAATGATAATGTAGAGGTTGACTAATTATTTATGTGGGGATGCCTTCTTTTTCCTGTTCTATACATATGCAGCCTTCTGAATGGGTACAGGGTATACAAATATTTAATAGCTTATCGACCAGTTCTACTTACATAGTATTCTCGTAGATTTCATAGAACTTTTGCATGCGTTCAGCATAGGGCAGCTGGCCAACAATGTTCGCCTCCTCGATGGCCTGGCGCCATACAATTAGCTTATTTTGTTTCGCTGTCATTTGGCGATACTTGAGGCTTCTGGGGCCATACTTAATGCGCGCTTCCTCGCGCAGCTCCTCGAATGCTTTGAGGCCGGCAAAGGGCAACAGATTCTCCGACTTTATCCAATTGTGCCGGCCATTGTCAGCAAAGAAACGCACATGCACCTGTATGGGCACAGGCGCTCCGGGCGCACTGTCCGTTGACTTCCGCTGCGGATGAGTGTGTGGATTGCCAACAATTTGACCCAACTGATCGGGACAGACCATGCAGGGCCAATAGCAATAGGTGAACAGCTTGCCCCAGTATAGATCACCCACCTGATAGGTGGGCCAGCCCGAATCGGTGACTATTGACGAGCCCTTGGCGCTATCTAAACTAATTGATGATGGCGACTTCATCGATTGTTCGCTATTATTTGCGGGCTCTATGTCTGGTGGGGATTTTAATACTTCTATTTCGGTTGAGGTCGCTGTGGGCAGTGCGAACATGGATTCTACTTGGCTTTCCTCAATATCCTTTTGCTCAGCTGTCTTGAGCTCGGTTTTAACATGTATTTGCTCATCAGCCTCGAATATTTTGTGGGCGGCGTCCTCCTCAGTTAGCTCAACCTTGATTGATATCTCAGGCTTGTCAGTTGCTAACGTTGGGCCAATTTCAATTGTTGCCTGTTTCTGGTGCGGTTGCTCATCTTTAGTAAGGTGTTCACTAGTTTCCTTTGCCGTAACCTCCGCAGGCGCTTCTTTAGGGTGTTTTTTCTTTGGCTTCGAGTCGCGCTTCAGTTTCCGTTTAAGCTGTTTGCGTGTTGGCTGCACCATTGTCACATCCTCGGCATCAGCTTCGAAGCCCGTGCTGTTGGGCGAGTTAGCGCCATTCTTAATGAGCAGCTTATCAATGGGACTCAAATACGCACCACTCGCCAGCATGTGCATGCTCGCGAGCAAGGTTTTTGGTGATGCGACATCGCTGTCCCCATCTCTGTTTGGCGTAAGCGCGTGATTACGTCGACGTGTTGTGCGCACTTTGTCAACGCTGTCGGGTACTGTTGGCGAGTTGGCATTGGGATAACCAATGTATTTGGGGCTCAAGTTTGATTGCAAATTGATCAAGTCGCGCTTCCCTGCAGTGATACATTAGCATTGATAAATCATTTGGATTCGTATCTACTTACTGTTTAAGGTTTTGACTCGATGCCTTCCTCTTGCTGCTGGCGGCGTTTGCTGCTGATCTGTTGTGTTGTGATGTTCATATTCAGTGAATTGCTCACTACTATCGGTTGCCGACTCGGCGTCGTTTATACAATTTCGGAGCAGCAGATTTCCGGGAAAGCGTTGAATCGCGTTTGGTTGGGAGAGAGTACCATCCGCATCAGTTTTCACCACAGACGGTGCGACGGTGCCTGCGGTCGCATTGTCCGTAGCTTCTGTAGATGTATGAACTACACCAGCATCCTGCATTTCTGTGTGTGTATTATTTGCACTTAACTTCATTACAATAATTACTTAATTATTCAGATTGCGAAGAGCAAGCGCACAATTATTACCAAGCATACCAAGCGCTTGCTTGCGCCAAATTTTTATGCAGAGTTGCAATAGCAGACAGCTGTGGGCACCCCAATACATTAACATTTACCGCAAGTAATTACAAGCGCGCTTTAATGTTATGCTGAAAAGTCCGCGGCTGGTGCGTTTCAGTTTTGCAAGATGGTAAATGATTATATTAAGACAGTCTGATGCAAAGCGTTCTGTACTATAGTTAAAAATAAAATGGTTGGCTTTGGCAACGGTTATTGTAAATGAAGAATGGTGTTAAATGCTGCATTTAAATTTAACAGCTGCTGAGCAACTGTAAATAATAACAGAGTCATAACAGCACAGCTGTTGCTTAACATTTGAATTAGTATCGATACGCTTATGCCAGTGTTGCACAAGTGCCGAATGGGCGATATTAAATACGCATACCATTTAATAGTGCTTTTAATAAATTGGGTTTTTTGTACGTGAGAAATGTGCGGTCACATTGCAAGACTTCTGAAAAAAACATTAATTCCAAAATAAAAATTAGATTGTTGCACGACTTGGTTGCGTCCACGTAAGATGGACAATTTTGTAAAGACCCTCATAGAGGAGGTGAAATCACAGGGCGTCTTCGACGAGTTTCGATTCAATTGCTGTCTAGCGGATGTGGACACAAAGCCAGCATACCAGAACGTACGCAACCGCGTCGAGACTGCTGTAAACGATTTTCTGGCCAAGCAACATTGGACACCTGATACGAACAAAGTGCAGCTGCGGGAACGACTGCGCAAACATTTGCTTGAGTGGGTCCAAATGATTTTTTAAGCTGCTTTCTCAATTATAAATCTGATATATTTGCAGCTCCGATGTGCTGGATAAGGGCGTTGATCATATAGTGGATCAAGTAGTCAACCCGAAGGTAGCCACAATATTTGAGCCAAAAATTGAAAGCATTGCCTACAAATATCTGGGCATAACGCCACCCCCGCCGCCAGCAAACCCGCCTCCACGTCCACCCCTGCTACCAGCTCCACCCTTGCCCCCCTACACTGGACATGGCCTGAGGCATCTGAATGGCGGTAATTTGCTTAAGGTGGAAACAACGGCCAGCCTGTTGCCAACAGACCTAGAGCAAATCAGTCCTGATTCCGATCGTGCGACTGTCAAGTCGGATACTAAGGATGACAGCAAGGACGATGAGCTGCCACCTGGTGTGGATGGTGAAGATATTCTCGATGATGATGATACCACATCCCCCGCATTCGAACCGGCCAGCAGCATTAAGGAAGACACAAACAATGCCTCGCTAAACACATCTGATTCAATAAAGGATGTCAAGGAACTTGCCAATGACTCGCGAGACGCTGGCGCCTCGCAAGCCTCACAGCTATCACAGGTATCTAGCGATAGTCGCCTAACAATTGCTTCCACAGATGCACCACAGCCAACGTCGGCCAACAACAGCGTGGAATTAGCGTCGAACATAGCTGCCAACATATCAGAGGAAGCGCAAATGCCCAAGTTTAATGAGAATTCCAGCGATGCAAACGATAACAGCGGTCGCCAGTTGCACTTCGACATCAAGCAGGATGCAATTACATTCGAAGGTAAGTGTCAAGTGAGCCTAAAGTGTTTGTATTGTAAATAATTCCTTGCAGGCACTGAGCGCAGAAACTCCCTGTCGGACTGTACCAACGGCGCCACGCATGCGCTTTCCATTGAGGACGCCATCATGTGCGAGGTGAAGGCCAATATAAGTGATGTCAGCGATGTTGCCATGGAGCCAGTACCAAAACCGCTACCTGATCCGACTGAATCCGATCGATCTATGGAGAGCAGTCTCTTTGCGGAATCAACACCAAACTCGCAGCCAGTGATAGCCAAAGATAGTACAACGCCCCAGCTACCTCCATTACCCGAACCACCACAAGTGCTAGAAAGAAAACCAGAGTTACGGCAAACAGTCGAAGCAGGGGTAGAGGACAAGAAGATAGACGAAACAAAGGCAGTCGACACAAAGAAAGACGAATCAAAGGCGGACGCAACGGTGAACGACTCAAAGGCAGACATATCACAGGCAGACGAAGCTGAGCACACTTCCACAACGCTGCCAATTTTAATAGATGATATTAAAAATGATATTAACAGAACAGCCGAATTTACGGCATCACCTGCCTCCGCTTCCTCGTCCTCGCAAACGAAGAAACAATCGCACTCGAGGGACAAGGACCGTCGTCAGCATTCACACTCACGCTCTGACAACAGGCCGCGACGAAAGTCGCGAGAAAGTGACAAATCGCGGACTAAAACTTCCTCCAGCTCGAAGCACTCCTCTCATACATCACATTCATCCAGTTCTAAGCACCGGAGCAGCAGTTCTAAATATGACAAGAGCTCCGCTACAACCTCATCCAGTCGAAGCAATCATGAATCATCCTCTAAACGTTCGTCAACTCGTCACGAATCCTCATCAACGCACAAGAAACACAAGTCCAGCTCGTCGACGTCACGGTCCGATCGCGACAGGCCGAGAAGTCGCGAGAGCAGAGAAAGCCATAGTCATAGTCATCAAAGTCGCAGCCACAATGGCAGCGGCAGCTCGTCTTCAAACTCAAAGCGCAGCGATCGGGATCGCGAACGTGATCGGGAACGTGATCGTGATCGGAACAAGTCCAGTTCAAATTCAACTTCCAATTCCACCTCCAATTCTATAGCACCAGTGGTTCAAGATGATCATAACGAGGTCAAAGCGAAGCTACAAAAACGCAACAGCACGGACTCGAATGATGAGGGTAAACCACCAGGCTGGACAAGCAAATCCCATGCAGAACCTGCCGACTCGCAAAACAAAGAGAAACCCACAGAAACAGCTGCTCAGAATGGAAATAAGGACTCGGAAACGAATGGCACCAATGGCACTAATAACAATGAGTCGGCAGCTGAGCTTGTTCATGCCAGCAATGTGGTCGTTATCAGCGACATATTACAGCAATCCACGGCCAGCTTTATCGAGCTGAGCAGTGCAGGTGCCTTACAGATGCCAGCGGAGAACAGCACCAATATCGAATCTAGCGAAAGCGATGCAAAACCACTGGAGCAATCCGTGGAGCCAACAGATACAGGGCCTGAGCGAGTTGTCGAACCAGAGATTACAATAGCAACTGAATATTCTGACGCTTCGGCTGAGCCTGAAAAGACGCCAATTGCGGAGCCAGTTGGCAGTGAGCAGGCGACAATCGAGGACGAAAGCTTAAAGGATATGCCTGCTGAGCCAGACAACGCAGAGATTTGCTCGCAGCCTGTAGACGCAACGGAGGTAGCAACAGCTGCTATAGCTGACGCGGAGCTTACCGACAAGGAATCCATAAGCTTAGAAGAAACATCCAAAACACAACCCGACATCGAAGGCACACCTGAGGCCAGCGAAACCATTACCCACTTCGAGCAGGATGCTGAGGTGTTTAAAGCGCGCCTGCAGCTGATTGAGCAACATATCAAGGATCGGCGTCAGCTGCTCAACGTTTTAGGCGAGCTGGGTGAGACAAGCTGCCCGCGGCGCAGTCAAATCAAACGTCGCCTCAGCAGCGAGGCTGCCTCTTCCAAGCAGCACAGCAGTTCCAGTACCAGCAGCAACAGCAGTTCAGGCAGTCCAAATGCGAAAGCCAAAAGAACTCGTCGCGATGATGCAAAGACGTCGCCCACACCATCAGAGATAAGCGTCAATTCCAAGGAGAACGAAGAGCTGGAAAAGCATGAAAAAGGTAGCTAGCACTCCATAGTCAGATAAACTCTTAGCTGGTGGAACTACCAAACTTCATCTTCATATATATGTATATATCTATATATCCATCTGTACATACTGCCTTTATTTTCTTTTCACATGCCCTCCGCACGCATACCCTATATAACCATAAAACGCATATAGTTTCTCTAAAGTGTTAAAACTGGGTAAGCCTCCAGCGTATCTATCACAGCCCATTTCTTGCTTTATCTGTATTTTTTCTTAATGTGGTTTTACTTATCTATTTATAAATATATATATTCACAGGCGATTTGTCCGCTAGAAGGCTCAGCCAGAAGCTGTGCCAGCAGCAACGCTATACGAACGATGATCTCTATAAGCCCCGTCCACTTTTGTCGCAACGTTCGCGCCGTCGCGGCCTGGATTCAATCCTCTAGTTGGTGCTTCACACTTTAACCACAAATCAAATCATATATATAAATATAAAAAAATATAAAAGGGCAATTATTGCTGTTGCATTTGACATAAAACAAGTGTTTTTTTTATCGCCGTTTAATTATTTTTTAAGGGAGGGGGAAATCCATTGTTTCTCTCTTTTTTGTTGCTTGTCTCTTGAATTGTTTAACAATAATGTGTATTAATTTTAGGGGCTACAGTTCACAGTTACAAATAGCAAGTGCAATATTTATATACATATATAATTTCGTAATAGATATATAAGCATGTATATAAATAAAAATAACAAACAATAAACGTAATAATTATGTGTGTGGTGTGTGTGTGTGGGTTTATGTGTATATATGGGGATATAATCCGAGGCTGCAGCTATGTGCCTGCTCCGTATACTTGATTGTGACGCCATCTACAGAATTGAACCTTTTTTGTTTTGTTTATAGCCTAAAAACTTTGGTACTTAAGAGCATATATCAATTATAGTTATCATGTCTGATTAGCTGGTACATCGATTAAAAAAATATATATATAATAGTAATATTAAAACTTTAACAAGTAAGCATCACAATCAAGCGCCGGGCATTGGATTGGAGGCACCTCTCGCTGGACATTCGACACGATCTGTTGCCTCATACAAATATTTGTATAATACAATAAGCAGTTGTTTATCGAAACTAATTGATTTTTTTTTTTTTTTTTTTTGTAACAGCATAATTTGTTTATGTAAATTGTAATTCGATTACAAATTAATTAATTTCTTCCAAATTGTTTTATTTGTTTGTGTGTGTATGTGTGTGTAGTAGCATTGCGCGTTTGTTTTGTATTTTGTTTTACTTTAACAACATAAACATAAATATATTCATATGTATATGTATATATACTTTTAAATTTGTTTTTAAAAAAATCATCGCAGTAATACATAATTTTAGGTAATAGTATTTTACAAGTGGGTTTCCTCTCATCAATTTTCAATTAACATAGATACAATATTGTTAGCAGTATTTTTAACAAGAATTTCGCAGATGACTGTATCGTGTGTGTCTTTGTTTTTTGTTTGGGGGAGGGGGGGGGGGGGGGGGGGGGGGGGTTGGTTGGTTGGTGTGTGTATGTGTGTGTGAGAGAGCGAGAGTTTTGTGCACAACAACAACTACAATTTAACCTCCGACTATGGAGTGATAAAACTCTCACCGACTCCGCGCCGAGTATTCAAACAAGCAGCCAGAACGGAGGGCAGAGGACGGGCAATGGCAGTCGCCAGGCGTTTCAAACGCCGTGTCCGACACCATCGCAGTCTTCTCCTCATCCTCCACAATGAATATATATACATATATATAAATATGAATATACATATATGTATATATAATATATATATATTAAACTAGTTCTCCGTTTCGGCTGCTCTCTTAACTAAAAGCTACGCTTATTTTTTAGTCGCTGCTGTTAACGTGCTAACGAACGCTGGCCCCGCTCACGGCCGTTCGCCCACACACGCGCCCAGCTTACGTATTGGAGAAGCCCCGTTCATATGGATTTTTCACTTCCGTGTGCCTCGTATGCAGATTAATGGTGGGCGCTGCGGTTCGCGTGGATAGCTCACAAACCGTTTTAATGGCACCGGAGGCATTAACTGTCGGCGGTGCCGGATGCAACGTCGTCGCGTCCTTGAGCGTTACTTCTGCCAACTCCGCATCCTGTTCATCGGACTCACTCTTGGGCAGCACATAGTCGACACTGGGCACAGGTTTGGCCAGCTCTGAGCGGCCAGTAATTGACGATTTATAATCCTCCGGTTTCAAACCGCACAAATAGAACTTGAAGAACTCATACGTGGACCAGCAAATAGCCGTAGCGGGCATGGAGTAGAGCACACGCGCCGTGATGCCCTTAAAGAAGCCCCTCGGACCAGCCATGCGGTAAATCTGCAAGGGATTCATTTAATGCAATCAATCTTGAGTAATTCCTGTTTGGCACGCACCTTTCGGCTGGCCTCGATCATGCCCTTGGTGAGACCCGTTTCCTGCGTATTAAGCAGCGTCTTAATCACGTCCATTGGAGTCGTTATAGCCGCTGCAGCAGCGCCAGCCGCTCCACCAGCTGCCATATGCACAACTGGATTATACTTGCGCTCCACATTTAACTGAGAAAATTGAAATTGAAGTAAATTAAAGTAAATTTGCAATTGTAATTCATGGAATTGATTGCCAGATCTGCCGATCGAATGGTTAATATGCAAATAATTTGTATGCCTAAAGGTTAGCAATTCATGTTAACTAGGAAGTTATCTTTAGTTAACTTGATTAGCGTTTTTAAGGGCATACATTTGTCCTACTAGGGGGTTTATAACGGACATGCATTTTTAAAAAAGACATACATTTAGGGATAGTTTTCAATTTGGATCTACGGACTCTCCTTACAAAATAAAAGTTAAGAAAACTATTTATAGAGAATATTATTAGAAAATGCTTACCATATTCTGTAGAAATTCGTATGTGGTAAAATGAATTGTCTGATATGGTATATTCATGACCAGTTGCGTCGAATAGGAGCGATAGAATGCGCGCAAGCCCTCCTTATGGTACACGTCCCGCATACAGCGAATAACCGAGGTATATGGTGAGTTGTACATTTGCATTCGCTGCTTGATCACGTCCGTGGGATTGGAGATGGCATCGTGTATGACCGTAGCCAATGAGCCAGACAATACTATAAAAACGAACAGACCCAAAGACAATCAACAATGATTACATGGGTGTTGACTGCAGCTAAACGCACCGTAGTTTAAATGGTTGTGTGATGTGACTTTCGTCAGCGATTCCTTTGTCATCTCATAGACCCCAAAGTATAATGAATGCGCTGGTCCAGCGCCAAGTACCACAGCGCTTGCTCCGCGTATGGGTCTGGGAGAAAGGATAAACACATATTAAATCGATGTTGAAATTTCAATTGATCTAAGCGCTTACCTCATGATCCCCTCCCGCGAGATCATGTTCCGCAACGTGGCCATTATATTCAAATGCGCTGTGGGCGACGTTAGACTCTGCATTCGGGTCTGCAAATATAATAAAATATATGTTAATATATGACATTTTCCTGACGTCCAATTTGCTGATCAAATAAACTTAAATCAATGCAAAAAAAAAGGAATTTAGTTTACATAAAAGTTAGTAATAGAATGGAATTTTACATGAGATACTTATGTTATTAACAGTCGTAAAGAATTGCTCTGTGTAATTTGCGTTGACCATTAGAAATCGAACAGTTCAAATTTGCAAAGAAATCGCTATAAAAAATTATATTGTTGGTAAACAATTTTATTATATGTACGTGTTCAGCTGTATATTAAAGTGAATCTTCATCAGAAACTCAGCTAAGGAGTGGGAAACTTGTGTACATAACACAAACGGGGGAGCTACAAGAAGTGAAGGTTGCATTTGTCGGCACACAGATCTTTTAGAGTGTTCCTATAAGACTTGATAAGATTGCACTTTATTGCATAGAAATAAAAATGACGCGGCATTTCTCAGAATCTTCAAGGGTGAAAATGCTAAAAGTTGGCTAAGTACAGTGAAGTCTACTTTTCGAACTACAAGCGTAGTATGCAAAAAATTATATAAAAACAAATGAAAAAGTATAACAAGAGAATAAGATATGTATTTGTTTGTTTGTTGCTCTATTTAATAATGTCTAGACATATTTGTAAAAAACAAAATTGGCGCCGGTCACCCACAAGTTGCAATAGTTAATGTCACCAATCATTATTTCCAAAAGCTAAAGCTAAAAAAATCATGAAAAATTTATAATTGAGTCACGCTCTACACTTTCAATGACAAAATGAACATGCTAAAATATGTATGATATTGTGAAAATAATTCTTAATTTGCAGATGAATTTTGGAAATCCCCTTTTTGGAGCTCATTTTGACCCGTTGGCACAGGAAGAGAGGCTAAATAATACTATACTATACAGGTTTTCTATATACATATTACAATTCAGATGCATGTATGTATGCATAAGTTAACTCAGATAGTTATCGAACGCACATGTCGATCTACATTGTAGCTAATTATTTTCTTGGAAAAAGTGTGACGTAATGGCAACTCGATCGATACACACATATTTAGTGCTAGGCAAAACAGCGCTCAGGGTTTATACAATTTGAAGTAATATACTCAGAGTAAGTAGATAGCTATGGTAGGGCATACAATTTGACAGCATCCGTGCAATAAATTAGTGAGACCTGGCAACGAATACGACACGAACACGATAAGGGTAATCTAGCCTTAACAATGGCTATCAGCTTATATCAGCGCATTCTGTATGATATTTAAGTTTCTATTCTATTATATTTAACTATATATCAAGTGAATATGTAAACGCCCGCTGCTATCAACAATGCCGGAGACGATATCAGCGTCAACGAGAAGCCAGCTCAAGGTGATGGAAATCAACCATTTCCAAGTCAATAGCCACATCAAGCACCCGACGATGATCAATCGAAGCTGTTTATAATTAAAACAAACACATACATATAGAGTGAGCGCAATCGCTCTCTGATAAATACTTGTAAAAAAAAAATAAGGTTATTTCACCACAAATTGGCAATGATTGTTACACAAGACACATTTGACACAGTGTTACTGCCAGCTACAAGACCTATTGTTACCCATTTGATTCCTATGCCCTAGAAGAATTTTGGGTTATTTTTTACACATATCTATATCTGATCCGCTATAATTTGCTGTAAAGGTTATTTTTTTAAGTCGAGTCAGAACTATTTTCATTGTTTTCTATTCCCAAAATGCCACTTGACCTTCCCAAGACCAGTTGCTATCTCAAATATTTCACCTATGGATTAAGCCTCTCTGGGTATTTTTTTGCAGGTACCTCATTTCTGCTATATATATTATTTCCTTAACTGCAATAGTTACCACAGCTGCGTTTCACAGAAGGAAGCTACAATCCACATTTCTCCCCAGCAGGGATTCCATATACGACGACAATTTCTTGATAAGCAAAAAAGCAAATCAGCATTTAAAAAGCAAATTTTATAAAAATTATTTATAAATTAAAGCAAGAGACGGCAGCAACAACAAGAACCAAGTAGTTTGTTTAATTGCCGTTCAATTGAGCATTTTACCCGACTTTGTTGTATTTGTTATTGTCTGAATGTCGTAATGCCTAGAAATTAGCTCGTCACAGCGCGACAATAAATACATATACATAAATACATACATATGTATGCAATTGTGATTACGCGTCTGTTGATGACGCCGGGAATCCCTAGCCAGCTTTAGTTTGGCATTTAATTGCCCGCCGGCCGTCAAATGTGGATCGTATTTGAGCAATACGACAAATGACAAATATATATTTCTGTGATTCCGTTGAGAAAATCAATAAGCGTTCGGCTGCCCAAACCAAATCAACTTGTACTCGCAGCCGAGTACTTCGCTTAAAGCCAAGAATCAGCCATGCTGAGTGCATGCTTACATATTTATACTTTGCATATACACATATGCATATTTATAAGATAAAATGTATATATAAATGCGAACAACCGCAATGACGCTCTATGGTTAAGTACGCATATAAGCACTCAATCACGTATAGAGTACTATATAATAAAAGTATATAGTTTATACAGTTCTGAGTTCAATGGAATATTTACACTATAATGATCTATGGTACGTTTTTAGACCCAATCAAAATGGATATAATAGGGTAAAGTTATGCAAGTTTGTTACAAATATTACGTGTTTCATATTAGCACAAATGTTTAGCTAAAATGATGTGCTAACATCTCTTGTTGTTCTTAGTCTTTCTCTGCTTAATTCTTTTACAATGCACTCTTTAACAATTGCCTTTCGATGCGATTCTCAAAAGTTCTAGTAACCAATGATTTTGCCGAAATGCTTTCACTCTCTCTTAGCAAATAAGAATCATAACCGGCTACGGGATATCTTTTAGTCGTGCACTCTAAACAATGCAACTCTTGTTTCTATTTTGACTTTTTATCAGCTCACAAAGAGTTAATTAGAAGTCGATGTAAGACTAAACGTTGATATCATTTTCATTATTTTAAAGTACATATGTACACACGCATACGAAGTGATATGCATATATATGTAAATGCAAATTGTGAAATAAAAAGAGACTTTGGCACCAAAGAACGCTAGTCGAAGCGCTCTTTCATTATATGTATGTACATACATATATATATAATGTGATATGGTCTATTAGATTATATCATAATGCGTGACTTAGCTACCGAACATCCATCATGATGCCGCCTAAAAGCGAAACTAATCTTATCAGGCAATTTGTAGTATATATTATAAAACCGTCAAGAACGTGCACTGATAAGCACCGAATAGCTGGGTAAACGGACAGCATGACACAAATCTACCAGCTGAGCTGGGTTAAAAAACCTCGCTGTAAGAGGGGGTGAGCAACGCGCGCATTGCTGAGCAGCAAATGTCCAAGGAATTACATCACGATTATGCCAAGCATAAGACGAAAACAGACACAACCACACACACACACACACACATGGGAAATACATTGAGATATGCGCAATTGTGAGGTTAGGTGCGCTATGTTTATGCACCACTTCAATTACATACACAGCTTTTAGCATTCTTGGAAAAATAAAACAGCATCACACACGCACACACGCATAAACTCACCTTAACCGAGTCCAGCGGATACATGACAATATGCTCCAATACGCCCGCTAACGCGCCAGCAGTCATATTTATACCGACGCTGGTCGTCGGCAGCGATTCGTAGTCATCGATATTCATGGCGTTGGCCTCTGTGTTGCAATTTGGAATTGACTTTGGCGTCCAAAAAAAATCTTATTAGATTTTCCTTTCAAATTTAAAAAAAATAACAAAAACTTTGAGTAGCCGCTTGCGTTGCTTGCGTTATTGGCGTTTCTTTTGCTTTGACAGTGTGATTTCTCTTCGCTTCTGCCTTTCGCCGCAACTTTCGCAGCGAGTTTACAGGTACTGCCACCAGCGAGCAGCTGATAAGCGAGCACGCACTTTGGCTAATGATATTGCCTTACGTTGCGCACACATATAGACACACACACACATATATGCACGGCACACTATCACGCTCGATGTTGCCGTTGAAATAACTATTTGTGGTATGGATTTAGATTTGTGGCCACGCAACTGGGTTGAAGTTGAAGGACAAATACACATCGATTGCCGGCGTACTTTAATTTGCACACTTATAATTTTGTTGTATAATACGGTCTCAGCCTTTTCCGTGTTAACGGTTGTGAGTGTGTGTTCGTGTGTAGAGGACGGCGGATAAAATGAGACTACGCGAAACTATAATTGACGGGTGCTCCACCTCCACGCACGACGAACAATAATGAAATGTTGCTGTCTGTTGCCGATTTTGTTGCTGCTCGCTCGCGCTCAAGTGGCTCTCGCTGCTGCTGCTGCTGCTGCTGCTGTCACTGTGCGCTGCTGCCGTGGCGCATTCTATAAAATGTGTACTAAAAATATGCTGAAATATAAAAGCATAAGCTTTGTATATTTTAAATAACTCACGAAAATGTTTATTGATTGTTAATTCATTTAATTTCTTGGCCAACTACAAATCCCAGATCGTTTGCGAGTTGAGCTGTGCACGTGTGTGTGTGTATGTAGCATGTGAGAAAAACGCACACGAAAAGGAATGTCAAAATCAGCTTGCACTGACTGTTATCGAATGATGCGGCCACGCTGCATACGCAGCGCAAAATATTATTGATATTTTTAGAATATTTTAATAATATATGCTTGACGTGCTGCTAACAGCAGCACAAAATACACCATGTTTTAAAACATATAAGCTTATTAATTAGAATAAAATCTCAAGTAGCATTCGCTATTTAGCGCCACGATTTGTGCTTGTAACTAAAAAATAGTTGTTAAAAATAGTTTTCATTATCTGGCAACTCTGTTGTGACTTATTTATATGCGTTGGCTGCGTCGCAACGGCGTCATTTTTGTGTGCGAAAAGCGTTCGGTCGGTCAACTTCTGTCGTGGGGAGTTACAACGAATCTTGGTGGGCATCCGAAGTTGTTGCACTGACGTGGCCAGAAGGCACATTAATCCAATTTCAGTGCAAGTTAATTAAGTTGTAAATAAATCAAAGATGAAGCAGTTTTTGCTGCTGGGCCTTTTGCTTTTAGCAGGTACGCTCAATGAAATGCCACGCTTTCTGCCGGCATTTTAACCTAAATTTTGCATTAACATAATTATTTTTCATCACTGTTTTCGTAAAATTAGGCATCAATCAAATTGTTGCTGATGATGCAGACAGCACTGAGACGATTGACCTGGACTTGGGCGCTTTTAAAGAAGGTTCCAGAACAGGTAATTGTATATAGTATACGCCCCCTACCGGTCAGCAGCATTTTTGTACACGTCAGCGTTAAGCTTTTACCGTTGCTAATGTTGACGCCCCTTATCACCATACAAATACAAGTTGACATTCATATATATGTATATAAAAATATATATTTAAATATTTTAATACAGATGCCGAAACGCTCAAGCGCGAGGAAGAAGCTATTCAATTGGACGGCCTAAATGTGGCACAACTGAAAGAAATACGCGAAAAGGTAAGCACACACACACACACATACACACACGAAAGATCGCCCGCATGCCCACGTTTACGCACACATATACGTATACGCAGACAAGCCCATTCATAAAACATAATGCTACAGTCGAAAGTGCCCGCTTATTAAATACCCTATACCCAGCTCTTAGCTGGCATAATATGCATTTGAACTTCCTTCTGCTCAATAAAATACAACCCCACACTAAGAAAAGTTTAGTGTTTTTAGTGTTTGCCATTAGCGTGCTTAGCCTTATTTAAAGGAGCTTTGTTTTCTTCTGTTCTTTTTCCCTCTCAGGCTGAGAAGTTCACATTCCAAACGGAGGTCAACCGCATGATGAAGCTGATTATTAATTCGCTTTATCGAAACAAGGAGATCTTCCTGCGTGAGCTCATCTCGAACGCTTCCGATGCCATTGACAAGATTCGTCTACTGGCGCTGACCGATCGCAAGGAGCTGGAGTCCAATCCGGAACTGCATATACGCATTAAGGCCGACAAGGAGAACAAAGTGTTGCACATTTTGGACTCTGGCATTGGCATGACTCATCAGGATCTCATTAATAACTTGGGCACGATTGCGAAGTCTGGCACTGCCGATTTCTTGGCCAAAATGCAGGATCCCAGCAAGTCGGAGGGTCAGGATTTGAATGATATGATTGGACAGTTCGGTGTGGGTTTCTATTCGGCTTTCCTTGTCGCTGATCGTGTTGTGGTCACCACCAAGCACAACGATGATAAGCAGTACATCTGGGAGTCGGATGCTAATAGCTTCAGTATTACGGAAGATCCACGTGGCGATACCCTCAAACGTGGCTCAATCATCTCGCTGTATCTCAAGGACGAGGCTCAGGACTTTTTGGAGGAGGACACCGTCCGCGAACTGATTCGCAAATACTCGCAGTTCATTAACTTCCCCATCATGATGTGGTCTAGCAAAACTGTCGATGAGGAGGTGCCCGTCGAGGATGAAGCACCCGCAGCCGAAAAGTCCGAAGATGATATCGAGGAAGCCGATGAGGATGTTAAGGTTGAGGAGGATAATGACCAGGATAAGCCCAAGACCAAGAAGGTTTCAAAGACCGTCTGGGACTGGCTGCTGATCAACGATAGCAAGCCCATCTGGACACGCAAACCAGCTGAAGTCACTGAGGAGGAGTACAATGCATTCTATAAGAGTCTGACCAAGGATTCGAGCGAGCCTCTAACTCAAACCCATTTTGTTGCCGAAGGCGAAGTCACCTTCAAGAGTTTGCTATACATTCCAAAAGTTCAGCCATCTGAATCCTTCAATCGCTATGGCACCAAATCGGACAACATTAAGTTGTACGTGCGCCGTGTGTTCATTACGGATGAGTTCAACGATATGATGCCCAACTATTTGAGCTTCATTCGCGGTGTGGTCGATTCTGATGATCTGCCTTTGAATGTCTCTCGTGAAACGTTGCAGCAGCACAAGCTGATTAAGGTTATCAAGAAGAAGCTGGTACGCAAGGTACTGGACATGATTAAGAAGATCGACAAGGCCGCATACGAGAAGTTCTGGAAGGAGTTCTCCACCAAGTATGTATAACACTGGGGGATTATTCATTTATCGTTAAATAACTTATTTGTTTTATGTTAGCATCAAATTGGGCGTCATGGAGGATCCCAGCAATCGTTCGCGTCTGGCCAAGCTGCTGCGGTTCCAGAGCTCTAATGGCAAGGGCGTTACCTCGTTGGCCGAGTACGTCGAACGCATGAAGTCCAAGCAGGACCATATCTATTATATTGCCGGCGCTAACCGTGGTGAGGTCGAGAAGTCGCCATTTGTTGAGCGTTTGCTGAGCAAGGGCTATGAGGTGCTCTACCTGGTTGAGGCTGTGGATGAGTACTGTATCTCGGCGCTGCCAGAATTCGATGGAAAGAAATTCCAGAATGTTGCCAAGGAGGGATTCAAGCTGAACGAGTCCGAGAAGAGCAAAGAAAAGTTTGAGGTTTTGAAGAGCACATTCGAGCCTTTGGTTAAATGGCTGAATGATGTGGCCCTCAAGGATCTGATCTCCAAGGCTCAGGTCTCGGAGCGTCTCAGCAACTCGCCTTGCGCTCTGGTCGCCAGCGTGTTTGGCTGGACCGGCAACATGGAGCGTTTGGCCATGTCGAATGCCCATCAAAAGGCCGATGACCCGCAGCGTAGCTACTATCTTAACCAGAAGAAAACGCTAGAGATAAACCCCAGACATCCGCTGATGCGCGAGCTGTTGCGTCGCGTTGAAGCTGATGAGGCCGACGAAACGGCCAAGGAAATGGCGCTCATGATGTACCGTACTTCCACACTACGCTCCGGCTACATGTTGCAGGAGACAGCAAGCTTTGCCGACAGCATTGAGCGTATGATGCGTCAGACACTGGGCGTGCCACAGGACGAGCAAATTGAGTTCGATGAGGATGATGACGATGACAGTGATGAGGCAAAGGCCAGCAGCAACGAGGCGAACACAAATGCCGAAGAAGACGATGAGGAGCAACAGCATGATGAGCTCTAAGCTGCAGGCAGACATCACACATACCCATTCTATACCATCCCACATCCATATATGAATTGTGTAAATATACGATTGTGGCAGACAGACTGAGTACATACCCTACGCATGTGCGCAGGTGATACACTACCGTTGCATCAACAGTACATCTACCTAGGCACGTGTTTAGTTTTAAGTAAGAAAATTTCATAGCACATCGCCGTAAAGCTCTCTGCGTCAAAGTCGTTTTCGTTCTCGTTGTACGGCTCAAAAAAGCTACATTTTGATTTAATATATTTAAACAAATGAGATATATAAATGAATTGAATGCGTAACAGAGTAAAGATTCCAAATAAATTTAAATACATGTATAATTATCTAGTGTTGCCTTTTATAGGTCTTCCAAATCCGAGCTAAGTGGCTCATTATTGAGCGCTTTGAGGTATGTGTTGTACTTAAGTTGATCCGCAATCTGATGCACTGCCTCCTTCTGCGTTAAGTGGTACCTGTCCATAAACAGACGAATTATCCAAAGCGGCAATAGGCCATTTATAACCAGCGAACCGTGCGGCTATAAAGAAATCGGATCTTGAGCATGTGTACATATATATAATTTATATTTTTTCAACTTACGCCCGATTTGCTATATGCCTCGCCCAGTTTCTTAATCATGCTGTCGCGTATCGGTTTTGTTAATATATCCATAATGTGGCAGTGATCGATGGTCATATAGCTGGTTGTTTGGTACTTATGCTCCCGCTCCTTGAATAGCCGATCGAAGTCTATCCGATATGCTTCGAATGTTTTAAGAACTGTCGCCTCGTCCATATCCTTAAGCAGACTAATATGTAAAATTATTTTTATTAGAGAAATAAGTTACAACATAGGATGGGATTTAGATTGGAACGGTTGCTATATATATCTTGACAAACCATTAAGTTTTTATATAAGATCTGGTTCTATAGGAGCAATACATTAAAGTAGTCCGAAACTGAATGGGATGTGGTTTGATTCGAGTGGACAAAAAAAAGCCAATTCTATGCTACGTTTCAACTATTTTGAGAAGTTTGCTACATTTAGATCGATGAAAGAATAGAGAGACATGTTTATCTCGATGCGACTTTGATGCATGATAATGTTATTAAATTCAAATCTTACAGAATCTTAACTTTACGCGGCTTGGGTATGTCAAGCATATCGTTCAGTTGCTTGAGCGCAGCCTTATTTATGCGCGCTCCATCGAGCTGTTCAAATTTCCAGTTTTGTGAGCCTGAATGAGCTGCGTTTCCATTGGCAACCGTTTGCTTGTGCTTGTTGTTACTTGCACTTTGGCTTGGTCCTTTCTCAGAGCTGGAGTCGCTGTCAGTTCTTTTCTGTTTAACTTTACGCGTAACTTTATCGCTGTAAAATATATAATATACGAATGTATGATGACATAGTTTTAATATTTATATGTCCACAGCTACCTCAAAACAAATTCATTATAACGACCTGGTCGCACCGGAGATCGAGCTGAACGCCGTTCCGCCTTTGGCTCAGCGGAGTTTGCACTAGAAATTTTAAATATATATTATACATACTACTATACAAGTAATCAGCATACCGCGAAGTTGGACTCTTCGTGCGCTTGTCCGTACGACTGCGAGACGAAGTCTGTTCAATCGTTGAAGTTGGCGGCACATCTTTGACACTGTGACTACCTTGGGAAATTGATCTACGCTCACGCTTTCTGCTCGTTGTTTCCGAGCCCGGACGTTTGCTTACGGACGGCTCTTCGGACGGCTGAGTTTGTTCGGAATTACTGCAAAAGGATTGATAATAATGCATTAAATTGAGCAGCTAGAGCAGTTAAAGGCTTTGCCCACCTAACTTTGGCTGCTGACTTCTTTTTGCTGGAAGTGTTGGAACCCGCCGACTTGACTTTGGAATTGTCGGCGCTGCACTCCAGCGGGGTGGTTTTTACTCTGTCAGCATGCTTGCGTTTTTTCGCCTGTGAGTCAACAATTGTTTTGTCCTCGTGTGACATGTACCGCAGCTCAATCTCCAGGCCAAGATCATTTTGGGCTAGCACCTCATCCTGCAAGAGCTTTTGTGCCGCTGGCAGCAATTCCTCGGACGAACTGACCGACACTTTTATGTGATCTATGAGCATTTGGGTTTTTAGCTTGCGTGCATCTTCATCCCAATTACTGAGGCTGGCAAACAGTCGCCACAAGGCGCTCTCAAGCTTTGTCCAGCGAGCGGCCGTCATCCAGTTGAAGTCAGTTTCCGGCTCCTTTTCGAAAAAACTGACGGTGTCTGGCAGTATCTTGATGATGCAGAATATTTGATGCGATCCGTACTGAATGATAATAGTTAAGTTGTTGTGTTAAACGTTTGGGCAGTAAGGCTTACTTTATATTGTTGTAGAACTACGCGGAAATCACCAGCGCTTGAAAACGACATTTTATTAATAATTCAAACAGTGACAAAAACATAAGTAGTATTTAATCGCATAGCTTGGCGTTGCCACATTGGTATAGGCGCTGTTTTTTGAACAGGGTAGTCTGACCTAATTTGTGTTTGTTCCGTTTTATTTATCACGCATTCGAGCTACCATATTTTGGTATTATATCGATATATTACTTGCAAACTGCCATCATGCTCATATTGTTGTTACTTTTGGCGTCTACATTTGCACTTTACAGCTTAATTATTTTGCTTAGATGATTTTTGTATAATAATACAGCACTTAAAAACATAACATTTTGAATTCATGGCATGGCTTACCTATCGTTAACTTAAATATATCGAATCTAGCAATTGATAGCAACTACCGTCCAGTGCTGCCAATTATTTATAAGAATTTCAAATGCTTTGGCGCTCTCTGATGCTAAACTGATACGCAACTGAATTGGCCAATGAGTGAGAGCTGTGGCAGCATGGCAAAATTATTTATTATCTGACTCGCTTAGAATAGGTCATGTTTTTGATTCAATTCGTTATCAGCCAACGACATAGTGAGCAGACATTACTGCGCTTAATCGCAGAGAGAGCGCCTTAGCAGCTAATGCTGGCAATTTTGTGTTTCCGCCATGCCACACAGTTTTAAACTAGGTTCTGAATGAAGCGGACGCGCAAGAGTAGAGACAGAGCGCGCCATATAATTGCCATTATTTCAAATCAATCAATCGACGAAAAATTTCTTACACACGCTATAAACATATAGAATACATGTTTACCCGTGTATATAGATGAATGAATGCGAATAAGTATTAGATGAAAAGGAAAATGTTTGAGATTAAAAAAAGCTTATCATTGATGTGTGCTGGTGCCTTATTGGCAATAATTTTGTTGGCAACATGCGCAGCTAAGCCCGCGTCGGAGATTGATGACGCCACAAGCGCTGAGAGCATTGATAACGTTATAATGGACGCCAATGCCGAATATCTGAAATCCTATGCGTCGCAAATGTTGAGCTACATGAACCGCAGCGTGGCGCCATGTGATGACTTCTATGAGTACGCATGTGGCAACTGGAAAAATGTAAAACAGGAGAGGCAAACCCAACATAAGCGGAGCAATCTGCTGGACATTGTTTACACGCTGGCCGATGTTGCCGAGCAGCTTCTGGTGGGGAACTCCACGCTGGCCGAGGATCTCGGGTATGGTGCTGAGCTGGGCATTGCACAACAATTTTACAACGCATGCCTCAGCGCTCAGCTCTATCCGCTGCCAGCGGCCGACCCCGCTTATCTGGAGCTTATCAGGTCGATTGGTGGCTTCCCCGCCGTGGACGGCAAAGCGTGGCTGGCCTCGAATTTCAGCTGGTTTAACATGAGCTCCCACTTGACTAACTACGGTGCTGATGGACTCATCTACGAGAAGATACTGCCCCAATACCCTTTCATGCCATACTTTAAGCTGCCAGAGCTGGGCTTCGATTATATTGTGCACACGGACAATATCGCTACCAATGACACTAAAGGCTATAGGCTCAACGAAAAGCGTATGCGGGGCTACCTGAATGCTTATGGTCTCGCCGAGGAGCAGGTGGCCGATGTAATAGCTGGTGTTTTTGCCTTCTGGCGCGATGTACTACAGATTGCCGATCGCTTCGACGACGATTCGGATAAATGTGATGTGCTGACCGAACTGCACACTTCAGGGCCATTTCCCCAATGGGATCAGTACTATGAAATTGCCTGGGATGGTCAAAATTTCGGGATTTATCCGCCGGAACGCTTTTGCGACTTTTACTATATTGAGCTGGACAAGGTATGTGCCAAGCACAAACCGGCTGTAGCCAATTATCTGGCCATGAAACTGCTTTATCGGATGGATGCCAAATTGAAGGCCGCCAAGTTCCAGCGCGACCAGTGTATACTCACCGTGCAGTACTCGCTGCCTTATCTCCTGGACAAGCTTTATTTTGTGGTGCGTATTCATTTATTACACTGTATTCCTAATACCTAACACTAGCTACTCCGCCCGAGCTTAGGAGTACTTTACGGACGAGAAACGCGCCGAGATTGAGAATATCATTGTGGAGCTACGCAAGAGCCAGCTGTCACTGCTGCAGAACGCCAATTGGCTGGATGTAGAAACGCGCGAGGAGGCGTTGCTCAAGGAGTCCACCATTGTGCCGCGGATTGGTAAATGCAAGGATGACAGTCTCTCAGAGAGCCTCATACGAGCCATGAACAATCTGACGTTAATACCCGGCTCCTATGCCCGGAACAACATCAATCTCAATCACTTTAGCACCTATATAAGGCGCTACAATGGCATGCACCATAAGGAGCTATCCAATACGACAAAGCCGCTGGAACTGCTGGTGGGCATGCAGGTGAATGCGTTTTACTACAATATAGACAATTCGATCAATGTTATGGCCGGCATCCTGCATCCCCCGGCATACCATCAGGCGTGGCCCAACTCGCTTAAGTTCGGCACCATTGGCTATTTGGTGGGTCATGAGCTGACCCATGGCTTCGATAGCATTGGCTCGACGTTCGATAGCAACGGCACCGCACGCAACTGGTGGTCCAAGAAATCCGGCGAGGTGTTTACCGAGCGAGCCAAATGCTATGTTGACCATTTCAATAACTATATAATACCGGAGATCAATCGCAAGATCAACGGCAATCAGACCAAGGATGAGAATATAGCGGACAGCGGCGGCTTACGTGAGGCGCTGAGTGCTTATCGTAGCTACATGAAGCAGCAGCAAGTGAGCAGCGAGAACAACGCCTCCTATGTGCACAAGAATGAACAGATGCCAGGACTTGATTTGTCACCAGAGCAATTGTTTTTCCTAGGCTTTGCGCAGCTATGGTGCTCCGACTACGAGGAGAGGCACTATTGGGAGGAACTGACCAATGAGCATGCCATGGACAAGTACAGAGTGCTTGGCGCCGTCACCAATAACGAGGACTTCGCACAGGCATACAACTGCCAGCTTGGCAGCCCAATGAATCCGACAGCGGATAAATGCCGCATCTGGTAACGGCGTAAATCGCAGCTGATAAGCCTGCGCGGGTTCATTGAGTAACTAATGTAGTCATGTATATATGCAAAAATATAGGCCTGCCACATAAAGCTACGCGTACAACATTTTTGATTGTAAACATTGCTTGGCTATTGGTGTCAGCTATTTATTTAGACAACAGCTATACGACTAGTGTGCAATGGGTTCCGAGGATTTGTAGGCATTGGGGTTGCTATAGTTGTCAATGAGCAGCGATTTGTAACGGCGCAGGTGTACGCTGAGACCGTCATCGTGCTCGCCGGCAGAGAGTATAACAACACGTGAGATAACCAGATGTGAGGGATTAGTCTGGCTGAAACCGCGTATTACATCAATCTCATCGCCCACGTCGAGCTGTAATAGATTAAAGAACATTACTTGAGGAAAAGTTTTTGCCGCCTAAGCTCAGCCTCACCTGCACGCTCTTTTTCAATAACTTTTTCCCGTTTACACGGATTTTGCTTTCATAGAATTTAAGTTCCACTTTGCTGCAATTTATGGGTGTATTAGTATGACAATGCTTAGCTGTTGACTGAGGCACTTACTTTCTGGCCATGCCAAGTCCGGCTTTTAGTAGCAAGTCCGCACGCAATGAGTTAACTTTGGTCTTAACCACCTTCGAATCACGTTCATCCTTAAACTCGGCATCTACTTCATCATCCGAGTCAATGTCGTCCCTCGACCGCGAAGATTTTTTGTCATATTTATGCACAATTTGGCTGGTGTGCAGTTGCGCCTGTTTACCTACTATTGTTGCACTTGTTGCAGCTGTTGGGTTGAGTGAATTGCATGCCGGAGCCGTCACAAATTTCCTTAGTCTTGCTATTTGCCGAATGCTTCGCAGCATTTTGTGCGGCCTTTTAAAATTACGATAACAATAAAAAAAAAAACGCTACATAACCTTAAATTAAAACAGCTGTTGGCGGCGCGTTGCCAACCATTAGTTGGTTTTCTTTTGTGGCGGTTGGGTTTTTTGCTTTTTGTTTTTGTTTCGTTTCTTTTTGGGTTTTTTGTCAGGATTCGAACGGATCTGATGTACAATAAGCGGCTGATAATTTGCCAGGTTTGTAGGCAGAAATTCATCGTCCTCGACTATATCGGTTGTTTCTATATCCATCGGTTCGATAGTTGGCAGCCCTGCTTCTTCTGGTGGGCTTGTTTTCTTTACAGTTAGTTCATCCTTGTTTTGATTTTCCTGGACGAGTTTGCTTAGCGCAGCGCTCAATTGTTGCATTTCTGCCTTCACATCCACTTGGTCGAGCTTTAAGTTGCCTCCCTCATTTGAGCAGGATATGTAATCCCCGCTCCATTCCTTTTCAGCTGCTGGCGTTGCCTTTTGTGGCTCAATTGATGTCTTTTTTAGAACTTGTTGCTGTGACTTCCGTTTTCTATTAGATGTTGCTGACACAAGTGTTACTCTTTTTGGAACAAGAGGTTTCATCCGTGCATTTACCCAGTTAGCCAACTCAGAGCTGATGCTATTCAAGTCCAGCGGCAGTACCAGTGCCAGCGCCTGCACGCCAAATAGTCCATGTGTCAGTTCCTCCAATTTGGGCTGCGCGTAGATGGGAGCCGTTGGAACTTTGACCGCAGCTGTGGTTGCTATCAGGCGCACAATGTGGGAGGGTCTTAAACTTAGTGAAATAAAAACGCACGAGAAGCGCCGTGCGTTTATGGCGCGTAGTGAGCTCTCCAGGCCAAGCTGTATGTGGGTTTGTGTGGCAAATGTTTGTTGTGTATGTTCACTTTCGGTAATGGCCGTTTTTAATATGTTTTGTAGCTCAAGCACCTCGTTGTCTGGCAATACGGGACTAGAATAAATTCATTTGCTTAGTTTTCTGCAAAAATTAAAATTGTGGCTTACCTGTGCTGTTTATACGGATTGGCCAATATGGTGCGCAGCTTGGGCAATACATTCTTCTTGCCTTTCGTTTCCTTTTGTTTAATTGCGGCCAAACTCATCGCAACGCAAAGTAAATAAAATATGTTTTGCCCAGTGCCCACGCGACCGGCAAATGCATAAATGCCTAAATAATCAACAGAAAATACCAAAATAATACCACATTTAAGAAATCCTACATTGAAGCGATTACCGATATGTTTTATTAAAAGAGTGCTGTAAAGCGATAAAATATTTGTAATCCCAGCATTATTGGCATATCAGCTGTTGCTCGCACGTGTCGTTTTGTTTACAACTATTTTTGTTGCAAAAAATGAAACCAAAACCGCAAAAGAACACTGGCAAATTTAATAAAAAGCCTACCAAAGCTGATCAAAAACAAAAGCCCAATTTTAAGCAAAAATACAAGCAAAAGAAGCAGGTACCGGTTTGTTTAAGATGGAGCAACAGGCTGAAAACTATATAACTGGATTTTTTTTTTTTTATTAGGACAACAAACCCAACAAGCCGGAAATACGTAAAATGATTCACCAGCAGAAGGCTGCCGAAGCGCAGGCGGAGCGTGACAAGATCAAGGCCGAAAAGGAGGCACGCATCAAGGCATACAAGAAGCAGCGCCTGGAAAAGACCAAAGCCATCAGCAAGCGAACCCAGCGCGGCCAGCCCCTGATGAAGGATCGCATGCAGCTGCTGCTCAAGCAAATCGAGGAGATGAAGGGGCGCCAATGACGGGGATATGTGGTAGTGGGAGTAAGAGCAAGGTGAGCCAATCAAGAGCACAAAATAGCTTCATATCGAACAGGCGTTACATTTTGAAATTTCCGCGCACGCTTCAAATTAAATTTAATGCAACCTGTAATAAATTTTCCTCGCCCTTTGCTTCCGGCCGTGCGCAACCCTTTGATTACACACTTCTTTGAGCAGCTTGCCAGCTCCCAGCGTAGGAAACATATAGCACACTCATATGCAAATTCTGTTTGGCTCAGCAAATTGGCTTTTGCCAAACATTTTTAACGCCTTATCGACGGCATTTGCATCCTGTCGCTGGCAACCCCTCGTGATAAGCGCGTGGGCGCGACCTCTCAACTAATTCCCGCGCGTATTCAATGGAGGTCGACAAACAAAGCAATTTGTTGCCAACTCTGCATCTATTGAATTTTTGACTTTTCACCGTCTGCTCCTGTCGGATATATTTTACATAATAATAAAAATAAATTTTTACGTGCAAGCCGCTATCAATGTTGGTTTGTTGCTGTCTTTATAGCTACTACCCATTGAAAATGGGTAAAAAGGGTATAATAGGCATAATAAGGCATAGTCGATCCCATATGGTTGGTTATCATCCACAGGCAAGACGGTCGAGTCTTATCCTAGCGCTAGGGTAGCTAAATTTCATTAGGCTTTTAGGCTATCGAAAGATCTATTGATTTATATATTTGATCAATTTCGATTTTCAGCCTAGGTTTATTAATTCAGTTACCTAAGGTACTATGCCGAATTGTCTTAGTTTGCTTTCAAAGGCGAGTTTCCGGTTGTTTTTTTTTTCTGAATGTATATTGCAGCATTTAAAAGCTGGGAAAAGCGTATCTTTTAGTTAGCTTCTTTTACTTGTTTGTCTAAATGCTTTTACATTTATTGCTGAAAAGCGTGAAAAATCAAATAAACGCTCTTAGAGCGCCACTCAAACACAACAACAGGGCAATAATCGCTGTTGTTTTTTGTCGCATCCTCAAGCCGAAACCACCCGCCCGGCACTGGGACAATAACAATCAGCATGTGGTCTCATATCCGCCATCAAAGGCCAATGCAAACAAACGTATTTTCACTTTGGCATATTGGATATTGCAAAACTATTGCGTTAACCCTTTGCTGAACACCCCGGGTCCCAGGATACGCGCAATGCGTTGACACAAAAATCGCACTAAATCAAAAATTATACTTTATACAAATAAAACGATGCCGTTGTCCTCATCGTCGTCCTCGTGCTCGTCCTGGTCCTGGTCCTGGTCGTGTCGCGCAAGAACCGGAAGTCCTCGCTAGACCCTGTGGCCATAAATCTCATATAGTTAAATATTGAATTACGCAGGATATAGAATGTAGCATATAGTAGGTCTTTGGATGGTACGAAAAAAGGGTTCAGCCACATGCATTTCATATATTCAATTTTGTGGGTCAAAAGGATGCTCGTGCATATGTGCCACTGTCTGCCCCTTCCCTCACACACTCGCCCGGATTCCCTTTTTTTTCCAAATAGTATGTGTGTGACATTTTGCCTGGGTTTGTTTTGTTCCGTTTATTTAATAAAAATCTGAAGTTATGAGCACTTCGACAGAGGCCGTAACAACGTTTATATGTCGATAATGAATAGTTATGGTTATTTAACGCAAAGGGGCGAGGAGCGAGGGGCGAGGGGCGAACAGCCTCAACGGTTGTTTTCAGGCATTGAGTACACATTTGAGCACTTAAATCTTTTGTTTGGGTCGCTTATAATGCAATTTATGCATGTTTATATTAGTCTATGCATTGAGTAGTTGACAAACGAACCCTTGGGTGCTCAATGGGTTAAGACACTGGGTTTTTTTTCAGTCAGCTTTCAGGGGGTTTACTTTCTCTTTCTCGCTATTGATTTCGAGCACGCTCATCGTTAATTCCAAGCTGATAACAGATGAGAATTTAATTTTTCAAAGATTCCCAATCTATTTAAGATTCGCGCATAGCTGCATATGTTTCAGTCTCTGCCAAGTAGCTGTGACAGCTCATGTTCTTAACTAATTAATCTGTCGTTTTTATACGTTCACCCGAAATTTCAATGAAGTACTTCAAGCTTGAGTGGCTTTTGCTTGTCGCCTTATTAATATGCCTCGGCGATGTGTTTGCGGCACCAAAACGCAAAGCGAAACCGTTTCCCATCAGGCTGCCAAAGGTTAACATAAACATTCATCATAATAGTAAGTTATAATCAGTCAAAGCTATCTAAACTTAGTTTTACATTTCATTTATATTTGCAGATATTCACATTGGTTAAGTTTGTGTGAAAATAAATTTTACATAGTTAAAATAAGTTTTATAAATAAGTAATAACCTACAAGTAAACCTACAATAGATATTAAAATTGTATGAAACTATTTATGCATAAATTTTTATTGATTTTATAACAAAATTTAATAAGTTATTTTTTAAATAAATATAATGAATTTATCTGTAACAAGATGATTTATTATAGTTTATTATTGTATAAAATAAACTAGAAAAAAATGCCAGGAATGCAAGAGAATGTTTATACCCTGAACCCATTAATAATGGGTATAAGGGTATATTGTATTTGTGCGAAAGCCAAATGTATGTAACAGGCAGAAGGAAGCATCTCCGACCCCATAAAGTATATATATTCTTGATCAGCATCAATAGCCGAGTCGATCCAGCCATGTCCGTCTGTCTGTCCGTCCGTCCGTCCGTATGTATGAACGCAAGGATCTCAGAACCTATAAGAGCTAGAGACTTGAAATTTTAGATGTAGGTGCTCCTAGCAGATCGAGTTTGTTTCCGATAATCGATAACTTGCTCCGTTTCCAAGCAATCGATAAAAATCGATATCGACATCCTGTTTGTTGGGCAATTTTGGTAAATAATCAGAGCTAGAGTCACCAAACCTGACATATAGCTTCTAAAATAGAATAAATATATGCATTTGATGTTGGAAGAAGAGGGTTCAGGGTATCCCCTAGTCGGGAGCTCCCGACTAGAACCTCTTACTTGTTTAAATTTGAGGTGGACTGTTCTGTTCTTTGAGTCGTCACTCAATAGTTCTTCATTTGCCTTATAAACTGAATATTTGCTTTGAATATTTGAGACTCTAGCCTTGAAAACCTCAGTAAGAAATTCATAATTAACATATTTTTCTCAGTTAGTTTCTATCCTGACTGCCTAATAAAGCTATATTTGATGAGTACGCATATTTGTTAGCTCTTGATATACTCTTCATTAAACTCCTTCTACCTATTGAATCGTATGCATAACTTACTGGCTTTTTGAATCTTGTTAACGACTTGGCAGGCTAATTAAATTCCTGTGCTTACAAAATAAACACAAACAACAAACGAGTTTTCGTTTTCATTTTCGTTGGGCGAAAGCGCGATGTAGATAAGAAACAAAAAAAGTAAAGAATCTGGCCCCAAATTAACACCCAGGGCGAAGGATTTTTGCTTTCGCCGAACCGTGAAATGTTTTTCCAACAATTTGGCTGAGTTTTTGGCGGAGGACGTAGAACTTTTGCCTTGGCACTCACATAAATCTATGGCGAGTCCTGGGCAAGGGCTACTCTAGCCGCCATTGGTATTGCCTCTTATCTGGCTAAAATATTAACGGTTTAAGCTTAATTGCAAATGGCGACGATGCTGGCTCACAAATTAACTGCTGGTCGCAACTGTACCCGGGGTTGGGCCAGTCGGCGCGGGGACTGGGTGCCAGCCAGCCATTAGGGTAATTATTTACAACAATTTCAAATTTTACACATGAACACAGCATTACAATAAAATGGCGGGCCGCAACAACAAAATGTTTTGCATGCAATTTTCCCCGCCGGCGAGCGAATTCAAGTGCGCGGCACATAAATAACAAAAGTGCGACCCATAAATCAAGATGGGCGTGCCCGGCCCCAAATGTGCATGTACACTAAAATTTTCCAACAATTTGCAACACTTTTGGCGAGCACGTGGCCAGCCCAACACTGGCGGGGCAACCCCTTAACGGGACGTGCGCATAAATTTCAATTAAAATTGAAAAGCCATGAAAAATACATTTCCCCAACACCCGAACCTCCAAAAAAGCACCGGAATCAAATGACAGCGGCATAAAAACTTTGGTCAGTTTGAGTTGCGGTGTTGGATTTTCGGATTTTAATTGTGTGCCGCAGCAGGTGCAGGCAGCCATGAAAGTGGCCAATTTCGAGTGTGGCTGCCGGGCAAAGGATACGTGGCACATATTTCCGACTATATTTTAATTAAAAAACAATTTCGCATAATTGCGCAACTGATCAAAGTGCCGACGGAATGTTCTAGTTCAAGCAAAGGGTTTGCCTCCGAGTGTGAAAGTGCGCCTCCACAATGTGTGGAATTTGTGTGTCCAGTAATTTATGTAAATGAATGTGAGCAGCGTCTAATGAAAACAGCGCTGGGCTGGGACACTTCGCAGAGCATAATTCACACTTCAACGCAACAGCAGCAGGACTTGTCCGATAGTCATCGGGCATCAGCACCAGCCACACGGATCTGTCAAAACTATAAGCTGACACTAAAACCATCGAGGCACTTCAATGGATTTGGAGAACTGGTCATGAGGGTTGCTGCGATTGCTTCGCTTTGCTTCCTGCCAAATGCTCTTTAACTTTAACTGGGAGTCGAGCGGCTAACAAGCGGCGCGTGGCATTTTGTTTTTCACACGCCGCCGCCGAAAAGTACAGTTGACGCACTTTGGCGTTGCCAACTGTACCGTTTGTTGTTTAATGTCAGTGTCATCATTACATAACCTCACATATACACAACATAATTCACTTCCGGCAAACGTGCAAACGTGTGCGTGCCCGGAATGTCATCCCCCGTGCGGGTGTGTAGTTTAAAGTCGCATAACTCAAAAATTAAAGTGACCATGGGACAATTTTCAATTTGGGCATTGTTCATAAATCAAATTGCGTTTACGAGTAGCCGCAGGACATGGTCGAGGGTTCAAAGCCGGCGCTTTGATGAGTTTATTGAAAAATTGCAGAGCATTTTTGGGTGGTTCCTAGGCTGAACTTTCTCTATTTTTTTTCTCTCTTTTGTTAGCTGTCAAACATTGTCAACACTCGTCGTGGCATGTGTGACAGTTATGAGTATTTGCAATCCAATTTAATCAAAAGTTTTTGGGCGTCGTCAAGTGGCAAATGGTTTTCATCTGTGTTGTTTTCGAACAACAACAACAACTAATAATCGCATTAGGCCATGCAATTTTGCTGTCGCAGGATTTGCGGCATGTGTCCAAGAAATGGACAACACATGTCGGCGCCTCTGATTAGCCAGGCCAAACAAGTCGCATTGGGGAGAATTGAATTTTTAAATTGGCACCCGCAGTCGGAGTTGCGCCACATTGTGGCATATAAATCTTTGGATGAAGTCTTAACATGTCAGCGCCACTTATTTTGCTTATGTACAAGACATGCTCCAACTTTATTCAAATGGCAAACAACAATGGGGCCATCGAGCAGCAACAGGAAACGGAAGCCGGCAACTGGGAATTTTTGGGCAATTGGATTACGAATGGCTGGGGGGTAGGGGGTTACACTGCTTTGGCTCTGGCTACAAATTCCTTTTGGGCAAATCCAAAGCACAAAGCCCGTGACTTTGATTTATAACAGCGGAGGTTTGTATTTTTGTAATTTCACAAAACCAAGCGTCGAATGTCCCCTTTGGCAGCCCTAACCCCTTTTGTGCTGGCTGTCTGCATAATTGTGCCGTGTGCTTCTTAACGCTAAGCCAGCAGATTTATGGCCAACATCTTATTCTAAGAATGTCTGCCCACTTTCACTTTATTTAAATGAGTTTTGTTTAATTGGCTGAGCTGCTCCTGGATGCGCATTTTGGCCAGCGGTCAGTTGTGTGCCTTTTGATTAGTTTGCGGCCAATCTGAAGCTGCCCGCAAATCTGTACACTCGGAAAAAAAAAACAGTCCGAAAAACAGCTTTGAGCTAGGCTCCTATTGGGCCGAATCGGTGCCATCCCTATCTTAAAAATATATTCCTAAAAGCGATTTATAATTTTTTCTAAAAAAAAAGTCTGAAAAGTATAAAGTTATCTCTTAAGAGCACACTATATCTGCCTTTTGATTAATTTGCGGCCAATGTGAAGCTGCCCGCAAATCTGTACACTCAAAAAAAAAAAACAGTCCGAAAAGCAGCTTTGAGCTAGGGTCCTATCGGGCCGTATCGGTGCCATCCCTATCTAAAAAATATATTCCTAAAAGCGATTTATAATTTTTTCTAAAAAAAAGTCTGAACAGTATAAAGTTATCTCTTAAGAGCACACTATATCTCCCTACTTTTGAGAGCACTTGATTCTTTTTGTATGTTTTAAATATGGTCTTCTTTAAATTTATATTAATGTTCAAATGTTCAAAATATTGAAACATGTAAAACAATAATTGAACTTTAGATTTTCAAAAATGTAGGTAACATTTTCGTTGAGTGTATATACATATAGAGCGCAAGCAAATGATGACTGCATCAACTGTCTATTGCAGCCACGCCCGCTGGCGCCACTTGAATGCCATCAACATGACAATAACTTTTAACGCTGTAATTTCTGTTAAATTCAACGACTTCGTAACTAATTAGCGAGAACCATAAAAACAATGAGCGGCAGACCGCAAAGTGTCGCGCAGTCGAGTCCTGCCCCGAACCGCCTGCCGTGGATAAGGGCTGTTGCACCCTTGCCGCAGCCGAAAAGCAGTTACTAATGAAGTTTGACATGATGTGTAGCTGGATGAGTTTACGGATACGGATGCGATGGCGGTTGGGTGTTCAGTCTGTCAACGTCAACAAGTGAAAGTCAGCCCTGCTAAGGGTTAAGGGCGGACTCAACTTTCCAGCGACATCGTTAAAAGACCATAAAGTGCATTAAAATTAAAAACGTGTCAAAATGTTCAGCATCAACTTGTTGTCCTGCTGATTTTAATGAGCTCTTAATGAACCAGCGCAAAAGTCAAGCTCAAAATAAAAAAAATTAAAAAACTCAACTGAAATTAAGACACGCACATTCGTATAATTTGCGCCTCATTTGTTTGCCACAAAAAAAAAAAAAAAAAAAAATGGCGCGCAGTTTAAAAAATCGTAAATTATAAACAAATTTTTAATAAAAAAAAAACAGCGCGCGCATATGCTGCGTGTGACTTTTGTTGCTGGCCATAAATTATGTAAATTTTCTACGAAATTAAAAAAAAAATATATATATATATACATATATAAATATGAAAGCAATGCAAAGTGCGTCCTCTAATAAGGGTAAATGGTCACACGCAGCAGCGGGTTGTCCGCCTTGTGGGCGTGGCCAGCTGGCCTGTGTTCTTTTCCATCGACATAAACGTGAAAAATATGCCCTTTATTTCCTATTTTGTAATTTGTTTTCGTTTTTTTTTTCTGTTGTAAAACACACTGAAATATGAGGAAAAAATTGCCACATTTTCCCAAATGGATTTTTTATTAGATTTGCAGACGCCCCGGGGGTTGATCGACAAAAACAGTACCGGGTCGTGGGAATGGGCGCTACAAGGGAGCTGTCGCTGCCTAGGCATATAAATTCACTCGACTGATTCAATTCGACAAAAATGCATACAGACAACCTGCAAGTTTGTCCTAATCACCCGAGCAGCGAGAGATCTGTGATTATGCACACATAAATTTAACAACCGACATATGCAGAGGCTTAACAACAACAGCTCAGGTAAAATTTATGGTGGAAAAAACTAAAAACCTACTAGAAAAGTTGGCAAGAGCTACACTGTACAGCATGAAATTAAAAGAAAGAGTTGTTAGAGTTCTTCTTGCATCTTTTTCAAGCAAGCTGTTTAATTTATACAAAACTAGCCTAAAATTGTAATTATACATAAAAATCGTCGAGTAGCTTGTACTTTAAGAAATAAGTATATATACTTAACGGGGTGGGAAGTGCTTTCTTTACCCATTCACAATGTATTCAGAAGCTGAATTTTGTTGACCAAGAAAACATTGGACAAAATCAGAAAAACTTTATTGTAAGAAAAGTCGCTCAAGTTCACAGAATTAGCATCGCGGGAGTGCAATGATTAAATTAAGGATCATTGGCTGACGATCTGGAGAATTGATTAGAAATTTTATAAAAAATGATTCGCCCAGTTTCAGCTACGGTTTAATACTGCCAATCGAATCACATTAAAACAAACTTATTTCCTTAGCAAATGGAAGATTTCTTTTTACAGTTCTGTTTCAGCTTTGTGGAGAAATAGCTGTCCAACCTGACTGTTTAAATTGAAGTGTGAAAAGATGAATTTCATGATGATATTTGCCACATGGGCATCGTTGCTGGGAGTCAACAGCGGTCAGGACACGGTAATTGGAACAATAATATTTTAACTATATTAACTCTGAGATGTGACTGATTATTCAAGAATTTGGAGCAGATTCATGTTCAGGAACGCCTAAAGGTAGAGCTGGAAAATAAAATTGTTTATATTCAACTAAAACTGTCGGAGGATCTGTATAAAGATGAGCTGATTAATTCTCTAAGGGAAGCGAACGAGTTGCTAAATAAAGAGTGCACAAATAGCTGCCGTCAATCTGATGTGGATTTACAACAGACTTTAACAAACTTACAGAATACTGCCGACATTCTGAAGATAATGGTTAATAATTATGATCTAAATGGGAGCTCTTTTGAAAACCAGCTGACATTGTGTCGAGCTCAACTGGCCAAGCCAACTGTAAATCAAATTTCGACCCTTGCTCCAAGAATTGAGGAACCGAATCCCAATAGTTGTATTCCGTTCGGTTATTATACAGGCATTAAAACCCTTTACTTCGTCGGCTTAAGTCCTATTCGCGTTCTCTGCGATGGAAAAACAGCTGGTCCCGGCTGGACTGTAATTCAAAGTAGATACGATGGCTCTCTGGACTTTTATAGAAGTTGGGCTGAATATCGAGTAGGTTTTGGCAGCCTGGACAAAGAGTTTTTTATCGGACTGGAAAATATTTATCACATGACCAATTCTCAGCGCCATGAGCTGTATATATTTGTACAGAGGTTTGATAATGGTGTCGACTGGGCTCGGTATGATAATTTTTTAATTGGTAGCGAAATGGATAGTTACAGGATGAAAAGTCTTGGTACCTATTTTGGTTCTACCGATATAATGAATAATCATATAAACACTGCATTTTCGACCTACGACCGGGAGAGCAGCTATAACACTTGGTCAACAAAATATCATGGTGGCTACTGGTATTTTGAGGAGCTATCGTATGGAAAGTAAGCAACTTAATTTTAAAAATTTAACATATTTATTATTAACAATCTTTTTTATTTCTAGTAATCTAAATGGACGATATTATTCTAAATCTTATGCTCATGACGACGGCATGAATTATCGAGGGCCGGGCTCTAACACGCCAGTTCAAAGTAGTCAATGTAAAATGCTTATTCGCCCACTGATATAAAAATCGAAAGCATATTTATGGATTATTTGTATTTCATATCTTATACTTTATATGATAAAAAGATATTATAAAACTATTTCTCTAAAGTGATAAAACTTTGTATACCCTTTTGGAGGATATTATAAGAAATGCGTTATAGTAATATAAACAATATAGTATTCTTGATCAGCACCAAAAGCCAAGTCGATGAGTATGGGCACGATTTATCGAAAATTAAGTTATTTTTTCAAAAAAGAGTTTTGGCTTGTAAGTATATCATGACCAAGCTCGGCATTTATTAGTTTCATTATGTTTCTTCCAAATCGGTTCGAATTCGGATCAACATAAATTCTGCAAGAGCATTTAATTTAAATTGTCATGTGCTTAGATATCATTTCTAAAGAGCTGACTCTGAAATTACGTGTTGATTACAGGGGCTAACAGTCCGTTGCTCATTAAGTTTGAAGGCCCCAGAAATAACACCCGAAACGCAAGACTCTACCATCAAAATTCAATTTTTAAGAGGAAATGCTGACTTGAACTTTAAGCTGTAGGTCTTCCTAGTCCATGCGCAGTTCGAGATTGTTTTCGATAATCGATAACTTACTCCGATTCCAAGCAAACGATACAAATCGATATCGAAATCCTGTTTTTTGAGAAAATTGGGTATATAATAAGACTAGCTCTTACCAAACCTTGATATGTTGCTTCTAGAATGGTATACATATATCAAGTATCTTTCACCTACCTATCGTAGGTACCTATCGCCACCTCCCCGATACTACCGAAAAGTTATAAATCAATTTAATAGCCCAACCTATATTTAATAATATTTAAGCTACAATTTTAATGCAATTGTCATTTTGATAATACTCGAATATTTTATAGTACAATAAGATCTACTTCTGAAAATTTCATCAACATCGGATAAGAAACACAAAAGAAAATGCTGCAGCTAGCGCAATTTGCAAGAATTTCTGTATACACATTCATGCGCATCTTCTTTGAATTCTATTAACAGCATTGCAATTGGGAATGTGTTGGTTTCTGTGCTGCTATTTTAATTCGTTTTTTTTTTCGTTAAGACTCAATAGTTGGTGTGGATGTTGGGCAGAGACGGCGGCAAGTCTGTGCGGTCTGTTGCGAGCTCGAACCCTGCCAAGGGGACCTCTTTTTATACCCTTGCAGAGGGTATTATAATTTTGTCGTGAAATGTGTAACGCATAGAAGGAGACATCTCCGACCCCATAAAGTATATATACTCTTGATCAGCATCAGTAGCCGAGTCGATATAGCTATGTCCGTCTGTCCGTCTGACCGTCTGTCCGTCTGTCTGTTTCTATGCGAACTAGTCTCTCAGTTTGAAAGATATCTTAATGAAATGTTGCAGAAGTCCCTCTTTCTGTTGCACGCAGCACATATGTAAAAACCAGCTGGATCGGACTACTATATCATATAGCTGCCATAGGAACGATCGGTCGAAGATTAAGTTTTTGTATGAAAAAAAATTTTGTTTTTCAAGATATCTTGACCAAACTCGGCATTAACTATTTTCCCTGTGCTTCTTAGATACGGGCAAAGCACTATAAGCATTATGAAAAGGTTGGGTCTGCAAGGGTATTAGATCTTCGGCGTGCCGAAGATAGCATTTCTTTCTCGTTAAATTTATATTTATTACTACAAAACACACGAGCGAGTAGCGCACGCTGCATTTGGTGTTGTAATAAGAGGGTTCAGGGTGTTCCCTAGTCGGGACCTCCCGACTAGAACCTCTTACTTGTTTTCTGTTGCTGTGAGCTGTCGCTGCCTAGGCATATAAATTCACTCGACTGATTCAATTCGACAAAAATGCATACAGACAACCTGCAAGTTTGTCCTAATCACCCGAGCAGCGAGAGATCTGTGATTATGCACACATAAATTTAACAACCGACATATGCAGAGGCTTAACAACAACAGCTCAGGTAAAATTTATGGTGGAAAAAACTAAAAACCTACTAGAAAAGTTGGCAAGAGCTACACTGTACAGCATGAAATTAAAAGAAAGAGTTGACCTTGATATGTTGCTTCTAGAATGGTATACATATATCAAGTATCTTTCACCTACCTATCGTAGGTACCTATCGCCACCTCCCCGATACTACCGAAAAGTTATAAATCAATTTAATAGCCCAACCTATATTTAATAATATTTAAGCTACAATTTTAATGCAATTGTCATTTTGATAATACTCGAATATTTTATAGTACAATAAGATCTACTTCTGAAAATTTCATCAACATCGGATAAAAAACACAAAAGAAAATGCTGCAGCTAGCGCAATTTGCAAGAATTTCTGTATACACATTCATGCGCATCTTCTTTGAATTCTATTAACAGCATTGCAATTGGGAATGTGTTGGTTTCTGTGCTAACACTCAATAGTTGGTGTGGATGTTGGGCAGAGACGGCGGCAAGTCTGTGCGGTCTGTTGCGAGCTCGAACCCTGCCAAGGGGACCTCTTTTTATACCCTTGCAGAGGGTATTATAATTTTGTCGTGAAATGTGTAACGCATAGAAGGAGACATCTCCGACCCCATAAAGTATATATACTCTTGATCAGCATCAGTAGCCGAGTCGATATAGCTATGTCCGTCTGTCCGTCTGACCGTCTGTCCGTCTGTCTGTTTCTATGCGAACTAGTCTCTCAGTTTGAAAGATATCTTAATGAAATGTTGCAGAAGTCCCTCTTTCTGTTGCACGCAGCACATATGTAAAAACCAGCTGGATCGGACTACTATATCATATAGCTGCCATAGGAACGATCGGTCGAAGATTAAGTTTTTGTATGAAAAAAAATTTTGTTTTTCAAGATATCTTGACCAAACTCGGCATTAACTATTTTCCCTGTGCTTCTTAGATACGGGCAAAGCACTATAAGCATTATGAAAAGGTTGGGTCTGCAAGGGTATTAGATCTTCGGCGTGCCGAAGATAGCATTTCTTTCTCGTTAAATTTATATTTATTACTACAAAACACACGAGCGAGTAGCGCACGCTGCATTTGGTGTTGTAATAAGAGGGTTCAGGGTGTTCCCTAGTCGGGACCTCCCGACTAGAACCTCTTACTTGTTTTCTGTTGTAAAACACACTGAAATATAAGGAAACAAGTAGAAGGTTATATTCGGGAGCTCCGAGGGTCGAAGCTGTCGCTGCCTAGGCATATAAATTCACTCGACTGATTCAATTCGACAAAAATGCATACAGACAACCTGCAAGTTTGTCCTAATCACCCGAGCAGCGAGAGATCTGTGATTATGCACACATAAATTTAACAACCGACATATGCAGAGGCTTAACAACAACAGCTCAGGTAAAATTTATGGTGGAAAAAACTAAAAACCTACTAGAAAAGTTGGCAAGAGCTACACTGTACAGCATGAAATTAAAAGAAAGAGTTGTTAGAGTTCTTCTTGCATCTTTTTCAAGCAAGCTGTTTAATTTATACAAAACTAGCCTAAAATTGTAATTATACATAAAAATCGTCGAGTAGCTTGTACTTTAAGAAATAAGTATATATACTTAACGGGGTGGGAAGTGCTTTCTTTACCCATTCACAATGTATTCAGAAGCTGAATTTTGTTGACCAAGAAAACATTGGACAAAATCAGAAAAACTTTATTGTAAGAAAAGTCGCTCAAGTTCACAGAATTAGCATCGCGGGAGTGCAATGATTAAATTAAGGATCATTGGCTGACGATCTGGAGAATTGATTAGAAATTTTATAAAAAATGATTCGCCCAGTTTCAGCTACGGTTTAATACTGCCAATCGAATCACATTAAAACAAACTTATTTCCTTAGCAAATGGAAGATTTCTTTTTACAGTTCTGTTTCAGCTTTGTGGAGAAATAGCTGTCCAACCTGACTGTTTAAATTGAAGTGTGAAAAGATGAATTTCATGATGATATTTGCCACATGGGCATCGTTGCTGGGAGTCAACAGCGGTCAGGACACGGTAATTGGAACAATAATATTTTAACTATATTAACTATGAGATGTGACTGATTATTCAAGAATTTGGAGCAGATTCATGTTCAGGAACGCCTAAAGGTAGAGCTGGAAAATAAAATTGTTTATATTCAACTAAAACTGTCGGAGGATCTGTATAAAGATGAGCTGATTAATTCTCTAAGGGAAGCGAACGAGTTGCTAAATAAAGAGTGCACAAATAGCTGCCGTCAATCTGATGTGGATTTACAACAGACTTTAACAAACTTACAGAATACTGCCGACATTCTGAAGATAATGGTTAATAATTATGATCTAAATGGGAGCTCTTTTGAAAACCAGCTGACATTGTGTCGAGCTCAACTGGCCAAGCCAACTGTAAATCAAATTTCGACCCTTGCTCCAAGAATTGAGGAACCGAATCCCAATAGTTGTATTCCGTTCGGTTATTATACAGGCATTAAAACCCTTTACTTCGTCGGCTTAAGTCCTATTCGCGTTCTCTGCGATGGAAAAACAGCTGGTCCCGGCTGGACTGTAATTCAAAGTAGATACGATGGCTCTCTGGACTTTTATAGAAGTTGGGCTGAATATCGAGTAGGTTTTGGCAGCCTGGACAAAGAGTTTTTTATCGGACTGGAAAATATTTATCACATGACCAATTCTCAGCGCCATGAGCTGTATATATTTGTACAGAGGTTTGATAATGGTGTCGACTGGGCTCGGTATGATAATTTTTTTATTGGTAGCGAAACGGATAATTACAGATTGAAAAGTCTTGGTACCTATAGAGGTTCTATCAATTTAATGAATTTTCATATAACCAGTCAATTTTCGACCTACGACCGGGAGAGCAGCTTTGAAAATTGGTCAGCAAAATATCATGGTGGCTATTGGTATTTTGAGGAGTTATCGTATGGAAAGTAAGCAACTTAATTTTAATAATGTAATATATTTATTATTAACAATCTTTTTTATTTCTAGTAATCTAAATGGACGATATTATAATCAATCTAACGTCGCTTATGACGACGGCATGTATTATCAAGGGCCGGATTTCAAGGAAGTTAAAAGTAGGCTATGTAAAATGCTTATTCGCCCCATGAAATAAAAATCTAAAGC